CTTAGCCTCTCGGCCAAGAGATTTTAAGCTAGAAAAGTGAGAAACAATCTAAGACAGCTTCAAGCGAAAAATCATGCAGCATCATCTAATAGCCAGGATATAGCCACGATACAGTATTATATACCATTCCCCAATACCCAGTGACCTATGGTTGTCCTGTTGCTGGAATAGACCATGAGAGGTCAAAGTCTGCAGGGGACGCCATGGCACATATCACATATCCATTGGCAGCCTGGAACCTTCAGGCCTCGATAAAAATGATGATGAATTTGTTGGCATTGACCAGCATCAAAAAGCCTTGGCCATAGGTTGTTGCCATCCCTGCCATCCCTGCCATCGCTTTCTTTGGTTAAGAACAGATCTTATAACTGAAATCCATTGAGGATACAAAGCCCCGTGGAAACCGATAAGCCACAGTAAAAACCCACAAACCTTCTGCGTTCCAGTGTAGACATGTATGAAACATGTTCAAAAGAGCCATGGTTTCCTGCCATTTCCCCCGTTTCATTCATCACCACCCAACGTCTATGACAGCCATGGGACTGGTTGCGCTGATGAGGCTTTGCGCCCAAACTCCTGTGTAGCTAATGCCGACGCTCACCAAACAACTGAGCAGGACCTCAGGTGACGGCCATGACAGCGTCCATGTGGCCATGACTTGGGGCCATGAAGATTCTCCAGTTGAAAGTGAGTTGTACGCTGTATGTCTCCTTATGATTTTATGATGTGCCATGGATTAGCTAAGGTCCCGAAACACCAGCAATAAGCACTGAAACCATCAACTGCATCAGTTGCATGTGTTTTTTTCTCTGACCTTTAGCCTTCAAACAAGATACCTTTCAGTCTTCCCTCTTTCCCTTGAAACCAAACAAAACCAAACGACCAAACTGTATCAAACTGTTCCATGTTTTTCAATTTGGGTCTGAAAATGGGATATACCCAAAGTGGCAGTTTTCATAGGGACAATGACGTTCAGTTTGGCATCGTTTAACCCAAAATTTGAGCGTTCCGCGAATCTTTCGAGCCTGGTGACATAAGCCATGCTCTCCTGGTTGAGCTCCACCAAATGCCTGGGACCCACGGGCACCTCGCCCTCAAGGACTGCCACGGCAGCCACCTGAACCGAAGTCCGAACAACTATGGCATACCTGGCCCTGCATCGAGACATATATATATATATATATATATTATATATACAGGAGATATCCATGGTATTCCAACATTAACATACATTGACACTCTCCCTCTCTCAGCATTAAGACAATTTAGTATTATTGCAGATTACTTATTATTATTTGCCATTGGTAATCAGTTTTGTCTTAATGGTGAGTGGCGTGTTCTGCCTTCTGGGGCCCTGATTCCGCAAGCTGCAGGTGGAGCCCTCAGAAGTTTCCAACTCACAGACCTTGTAGTTCATGGTAACTACCTCATGATTCTCAAGTCTCAAATCGCATGAGCACCAGGATCAGTCCCGAATCCTCCAAGGCACCACCATGAAGCCCATCACGTTGTTGATGAGCGCCACGCCCGCCCGGGAGATGTTCACCGGATGTTGCTCCTTCAGCAGTCGATCACCAATGGCCTCGGGAAAATCATCGGAAGCATTCATAGAATTTACTGGTAAGTATTAAGTATAGTATGTATGGTTGTTCTACACCGGGGCTTGCTATAAATAATGATAATCATCTCTAATCCCATCCCTGCAAAATTATCTAGTCAAATGATGTCAAGTGGGTGGTTTATGGAGGTTTCAAGTACATCTTAGACCCTGTATCAAGGTTGAATTGTGGCCGGTACTCGTTTAAGCCCTCTTGATTATAATTTTGAGTCAACATGAGTCAACTATGCAATGCAAATGCAGATCCTATCCAGAATCAAATTGGAAACTAGTTTCAAATGCAATTTTTTCTCGCCGTTCGTGCATGTAGCTGCCTGCAAGGCACACGAGAAAGCTGGGGAAAAAACTGAGAGGTACTATGCCCATGTTTGCTTGTTCTATGTGAATACATGCCGAGTCATTTACATTTTTCGCTTAGAGGGGTGAAAAAGAGCACTTCATGATTGTGCTATCAGAATCTATCAGATATCATCATTCATCGTGAAATGGTCATCTTTCTGGTTCTACGCAGCCCAAAAAAAAAGCACAGCTGCTTGTTGGCCGCCATGGGATTCCAGCTCTTTGCAGCCACTGACATCTCATACTTTTTTTTGACGGCACGTTTGATGCCTGAATTCATCGAGGTCTTTGACCCTTTACACTCCTGCCTCTTAGGCTGCTACATGGATTTGTGTGAGAATAGAGGCTAAGCCCCATGTAATGTAGCCCCAAGATTTTTTTCTGGCTCATCACACCATTCTTTCTCGAGGATTGGTCATTTTGGGGTATACCACGCGGTATACCCCATCTTCACACACTCCCACATGATCCCACGGGTTCTTTGCTGTCCTTCAGGAACTTCAAGTCCCTTCCTGGTCCTCAAATGATCTCATCCATCTTCGCCCGCGCATGCGTACGGGAGCTGAGCCATCTTCAGATCTCCAGATTCAGATCTTGAGGATCGCACACTGATGGGCACTGCCACTGATCGCCATTGAAAGCGACCCCGAGGCCGCTGTAGGCATCATGGAAATGTGAACTGCTTCTTCTCCTGGATTACCTCTGAGGGATCTTGCGGCATGGGATGGGTTTGAGTTTCAGATCTTTCAGCCTCCAAAAAAAATATCATCTCCAGGGATGCTGCAGGAGTATCACATATTTGCCAAAATACCCCCCAAAAAAAAACAAACGCAGTAACGCACACTCCTGCAAGTTTCAACATAACCGGCAAAAAACATGCAAATATCATCAAACAAATGCCACCAATGCAGTCGAAATGGTTTGCGATCTCTTAGAAAATAGATCAAAACATCACGACAAAAAGAGAAGGTTCTGTTATCACCCTTAACAATCCTTCAGAATTATGTCAGTTGTGCACCACCCCCGGCAATGATGCCAGTTTGCCACGAGTTCTCGTTGAACTTCTTGGAGCCTCGTGGCATACCTCGGCGGATTTTTTTGGGGAATTGTGGGGGCATCAGATTTTGATGGAGCTTTGCTAAAATGGGATTACCCTCTGGTAAACTAACATAGCTATTGGAAATGGCCATTTATAGTTGATTTACCCATTAAAAATGGTGGTTTTCCATAGCTATGTTAGTTTACCAGAGGGTACCAGAAGTCATCCAAGTCATTATCTTGAAACCCATTGTGACTTGGTGACAACTGGCCCCCCCATATTAAGATCATCCTAAAATCATCGGTGTTGCGCGCGTTCAGGATGTGAGATCAGCCAGTGCCAAACGTACCTGCACTGTACTCGAAACTGCTGCTTCACAAGAGATACCTACTGCCATATCAATATGCAACCATAGATCTTAGTTATCTTATATCATTGTAGTTTACCATCCCAAAACAAACAATGTTCAACTCTTCCCTGAAGCCACACAGAAACAGGACCAGCCGAGATGGCGAACAAGTTGCAACTGATGATTCTTGGTCTTCTGGCTCTCTGTGATGAGCCACTCAATGTGCCTCACATGGGTTGCAACTTCCACAGGGGAACCTTTGGGATAAGCGTGGGATGAAATCAAGAAATATCGGCATGATCGAAATATGGGTGCCCAAAAAACGGTCGTTCTAGTCTAGTAGGGAAAATGTGATTACCACTTTAGATTTGGGTCGGGTTTTCACCTAAATTCTCAGATTGACAAAATTATCCAAAAGTCATATATGGTTTCCGATCTTTAGTCCGCTCATTTTTTTTCCTGGTCATCCAGGTCCAAGTCTCCAAATTCTCCAAATTCTCTAAGTCTCCACCTGTTTTGTGCCTAGAAACTGCTGAATTTTCATCTCCCGATGCTGGAGCCGTTTGGCCCGCAGGGAGCCAGCAATCTCCACCATAAAGGCGACAAGACCACTGGGCCCCACCCAGACCTGCCTGGAAGCCAGGCACGATTTGAAGCACCCGAGATTCGAAAAAATGCCATGGATTTCTAGATGTTTTTCTTTGATTTTTCCTATAGATTCTCCGGAAACAATAATGATCCCTATTATTAGTTACTATCATTGCTATTAAAATGACTATCAAGTCATTGATGTAGATAAATATAAATATGTTTGGGTTCCTTGCAATTGGTATGAAAATTGCTTCTCTTATGGATCAATAATGTGAAAGGATGTGAAAGGAATAAATGGTGGGTCACCAAAGAGAAGCAGAAAATTGACTCTGTGGCAGGGGACTTGCGGGGATGTCGAACCAGGGGTTCGTCCCACTTAATCACCTCGAAAAAATATCCGGGATACTTCTCTGTCCCACTTTGGTACAAAATCAAAACCTCAGGACAGGACTGACATGGACTTAATGACTTACACCCTTTCCACAGCCATAGTGCTGAACCAAGGTGCCCCAACTTGCTGTTGGTGGCCTTCTGCAAATATTCCACCGGTCGGCAGCGGCACAGCACCGCATCTGGCCTTCCACAACTGAGGATCTTCACGATGTCCAAGAGGCCCCACAGAGCGTTTTTGCCAATAAGCATGGTGGTGCCTACGATCAGGGCAGGCATAAAGGACCATGTTAAAGAACTGTTTTTGCTTTCAAACCTTCGAGGTTGTCCGGCAAGAGTCTGCCAAAAAGCGACGGGTTGTCCTGAAGCGTTTCCTTTTGGCACATCTGGGAAGAAGTATTTTAAGCATGGGAGGAAAATATGCTGTGGAATGTGCTTCTGCTGGGTGGTTTTTTTCGATCCTTTCGCCTCCCCAGGCAACAAAATCCAGCTGAAAGGAGTTGAAGTACAAGCGCCAGACCTGAAGAAATGATGAAATGTCCCATGGATCCATGTTTGGCCATCTAATCTAAACATGAGAAACAACAGCATGGCTTTGGGAAGGTCCATGATTTCTGGCACATACCCCCCGAAAGAGCCTCCGAACGTATATGCAGTTCCCCACTACTTATCATTCTCTCATAGTTTGGCCCCTGAAAATAAAACCAAATCAAAAACTTGAAGCAAATGGTGACACACCAAGAAGGGCAACTGCAGGCATAGCAAGGACCGAAAGGCATCAAGGACCTTGCCCGCATGTTGAAGTCCAAACCCAGCTGGAACTAACGGTAACTGCCACCGGTAATTGCGGGATGAATCTTTCTTGGAAAGGAGTAAACACCACAGCCGTCTAAAACAGTTCGAGCAGTAGTTAAAAACTGGTGATTGGAATGTCGATGTGGCAGTATTGGATGCAGGAACCCAATTTACAAAGTGTTCATTGTTCATTGAAACCGGCAAGGCCTCACACTCTGTGCTGGAGGCATTTGCTTGCTATTTGTGACAAAAGAAGTGCTCGTCATTTTCATTCATTTTCCAATGTCATTGGGTACCCTCTGGTCATGAACAGTTTGCTATGGATTTTACGGCCCATTTTGCTTCGATGATTTACCATGAATTGCTTGACAAACATGGTGATTTTTCCATAGCAAACTCTGAAATGACCAGAGGCTAAAACCCTTAATATCTTCATGTTTGCTGGTTATATAACTTCTATCATGTTATATCCCTATGAATCACCATAAACATCCCATTGAATCCCCATGAACCATGGCCTTTCGCCACCATCTCGCCTGCGCCCTGCGTTCAAAGAGCAAAAGCCGGTCACCTTCACATAGCTTTGTCGGGAGAATATCCAGGCACAGCAACCCACAAAGTTGGAGAAGGAATGTTTAAAATCCCAGCCTAAAGTATCTAAAATATGGCGGGACATGACTTTTTGATACTTTTTGAATGTCTTCGATCTTTCAATGATCAATTGGACTTACACGTGCCAAATAATTGACGGTTATAGCTATGATTAACTGATTAACTATGCGTGTACCAATTGGCAATGTTCATGAAATGTCTGACAAACCGTTGGATTCTTGGGGCTTGCCTTGTTGCCCTCTGGATCCCTCTGGTAATCAAACACGGCCAGCTGAGAAATCTCCTAAAGTGGGAAAAGTCCCGAACTAAATGATAGATTTTCCTCTATACTTCTACACAGGTGTTACTAAGCCTATCTCCAGGAGCGTCCATGGAACGCTCCTACAGCTCCGAGCTGGCCTCCTGTTTCAAGCTCCTCCAAGTGCAGCCAGCCACTGCAACAGGGCTGGTCCATGGTGTCGCTTTCGTCTTTTGAGAAGTCGGGGTTCAACTGATGCAACGGAAAGATGCCTCCCAGCTGCAAGGGCTGGGAGGGTTGGAAGGTTTGGTGGGGCCATGTATGTGCCAGATGGTTGGATACTAAATTCAAAATCACAATTCTTGATGTACCAACGTACCATTGATACTATACTCAAGTGGGGATGGACCATCCCCTCCAGCAATGCCTCTGGCACACTGTCCACTGGCTATCCCATGTCATCAAGCCCTGGCCTGTCTCTGGCTCCTCACCATCAGTGAATCTCACCAAGTATGTACCTCCTTCCAAGTCCTGCCGCAGCGCGCGGCCGGTGCGCGCAGTGCGCGGACCGTGATCGGCACAAAGCAGGCCGGGCTCGTCATCTGAAAGCTCCTGGTAGAGCATGACCATCTGCCCTTCCTGGCAAACAGGAATAAAAGTGCCGGTGGGACCAATGGTCAACAAACCCCTAGTCCTAAAATACTAATCGACTGATCAACTGGAGGAAACCGTCTGAAGATGGAAAGGAATATATTTGAAGCCAGCAAGCAACAAATCCCAAAAGGCTCGAGGACATGGATATGATGTGCAGTGACGAGGATGGCAATTTGCGAAGCTCATCCCTGAAAATGCAACTTGTGCCATTCACCAAATCTCCCCCCCACCAAAAATTGCACTTCTAACATCTCCCATTCCGGAACCATTTTCGCAATTTCACTGCGGGTTACCAGGACTTGGACCCACACCCACATCATCCCCTCTCCCCATACAGAAAAAATGCTCAGAAAACCCTCTTTGGATGCACGGAATCTCTTTCTTTTTGGATCTTTTTGGGTTCCATTTTTTGTGGGATGATTATATATATATATGTATACATATCTTACATTACCATCATGAATCATGAAGATATAGAGACAGGATTGGGACTACCCATCCAACCGCGCAAGCGCAGCTAAAACAAAGTGTCGTTTCCGTCCAGCTCCAGGGTGTCAGAGACCTCCTTTTCAGCCACGGCAGAGTCGTCAGGGGCCGGCACCAGGGCCGAATAGATGATGGAAGAGCAGATGGCGGAGGCGAAAGCAATGGCAAAGGTTGCATAGACCTAAAGACTAAAGTGACTAAAGGATCCTAAAGGTTTCAAGGCCCCAAGGGGGCCCCAAGCCCTTGAAAATACTATGCCACAATGGTAGGTAGCGAATGGAATTTGGGTGTAAACCAGCTTGACACCCCGCAAAATCAGAAAAAGTATCTTCCGTCGTAAATCCTCATAGTATGCAGCCCCCGAAACTCTGGTGGAACGTGATGGATATGTTCATTTGGGGTCCCCTGTAAAATCAGGATATCTGCTATCCGGGAATGCGATTAATCATTAATCTGACCCGGGTGCAAAATCTTATACGAATCATGCAAGGTATAGCATAAGTGTAATGCTGCAATCCACCGACCCGTATTTTGCATTACCAAGCTCAATGAGGGCTTCTGCAAATACATGTCTATAGGAAAAAATGCCCAAATTGTGAACCCTATAAATCCCAAATGACCACAGCTGGATCCCCCCCCATCATCGAGTCAACAAGGCACCGCGTGCACTCGCCACGTGTCACGTTTCTGGGGGCTGCCATCAGAAGAAAATCCATAGGCGGGATTTCCTTGGGTGCCACTAATAGCCACTGACAGGGTGGCCACCTCGTGAAATGGTCACCCTCCTTTAGGAGTTTTTGAGTTTTCGAAAATCCATCTAATTATAGTCATCAAAGGATGCCCCTCCCCAAGTCGGAGTTAAGAACCCCAAATGACCTGCAGCTTGGTCTGATTTGCCCTGTCGAAGCTCTTTCTTCGCGCTGAGAATTTCACCAGAATTATCCCAAAATTGCTTTCAGGGCACGCTTTTTAAACATATTAAATAGATCATATGTCTGTGTGCATGTATAATCATGTACTATACATTAGTGATGTTACTTCTGCTGCACAATTTCCATGTCAGCAAAAGCGATCTGTTCCTCGCCCCAGCTCCCAACTCCCAGCAGGTCTCGAACATAAGGAAGCTCCAAATTTGTGCTGAAGATGACGGCATCCAGGATATCCAGCCAGGAATCCTGGCCATGGCTGGCCATGGCAGATCGAAAAAGGTGAAAAATCCCAAGGCCCAGGGGATCCCAGCGGATCCCATGGGTCCTTGGTGAACTCCGGCGTCCCCAGTTGCGAGGCAAAGTAGCCGTGGCGTAGCACCCAGCCCACCAGCAGAATGGCTAACCACTTGGTAAGCATAAACCTGGGTACACTTGGGTGACCCCTAGCCGAGCTCCCCTAAGGTGATAAGCCATGAAATGCCATGAAGCCTGGTGAAATTGGATCAACATGATCAACCAAATCAGCTATCAAAGGGCACCCACCGTGCTATTTGGCTGGAGCCAGTCTGGCGCTCTGAAGTGTGACTCTGGCTCTGGCGCTCTGAAGTGTGACTCTGGCTCTGATCCAATGTTGTAGATGAGGATGATGTTGATGATGATCATATGATCATATGATCATGATGATTCACAAGCATTCATTAGAATGATTGCTAGTATTATTGCCCTCTCTCTCTCTCTCTTCATGATTCTGATTGCAACTGCATGCTACTATCATGACATGTCATGATTATGATGTTTTTTTGTCCCGCGCGGAGTCAGGAGTACGAGGCAAGGGAAAATGCCAAAACTGATTAAGCAACACACATCAGCTTGCCAATGGCGCGGCACAGGCTGCTGAACCCATACAGTCGCAGAAAGAAAGTCTCTGTATGTCTTTGTGCCCCGCGCGGAGTCAGGAGTACGAGGCAAGGGAAAATGCCAAAACTGATTAAGCAACACACATCAGCTTGCCAATGGCGCGGCACAGGCTGCTGAACCCATACAGTCGCAGAAAGAAAGTCTCTGTATGTCTTTGTGCCCCGCGCGGAGTCAGGAGTACGAGGCAAGGGAAAATGCCAAAACTGATTAAGCAACACACATCAGCTTGCCAATGGCGCGGCACAGGCTGCTGAACCCATACAGTCGCAGAAAGAAAGTCTCTGTATGTCTCTGTGTGTGCATGAGCTTGACGGCTAGCCAAAATTTCTGGAGCTAAGACCGTCCAATGCAAATCAATACTACCCCTTCGGTAGTGCTCTAATTAATACCCTCAACTACGAGCAGAGGAAGTTTGCAGATCCCCAAAAAGGTGTCTGTGTCTGAAATGATTTTCCTAGGGGGGGGCCGTGGGGATCAACGAATTGCGTTTAGACCTTTGGCAGCTTGTTTTGGGAGGGTTCTGGAATCATATCTTCGGAAATCAAGAATATGGTCCTAGAGCCCCTTCATTTTGGAGCCTTTCTGTTGTCAAAAAACGGAATCAAAAATTGCACCTACAGTAAGCAAAACCCGCAATCTCACAAGCTCAATTATCCGCCTGTTTCCTTTGCTCCCATGCTAATCCCCTTTTCCTATTTCTAACCCCCCTAATGAATAAAAATAGATCCAGATGTCATTTTCAGGAAATTTCAGGTTGGTCAATTTGATCTTAATCGCCTTGAGAAAACAATTTTAAGGGTCAAGATCACATTTGAGGGTTCATCTTAATAATAAAAACCGATTGGCTGGGGACTGTTTATTATTCGCGTCCCTGACGATCATTTCATTGTTTGATTAGTACTTAAGGTTTCGATGTAGTTATCAGGGGAAAGCGTCGTAAGACAATTTTTGGCAATATGTCGAATAGTTTTAAATATGTCTTAAATATGTCTTTTAATCATTCTTAATCTGTTTTAAAAAGAACTTCTGGCACCCAACACCTTTCGGTTGATGAATCAAATTGTTTTTTCCATTTTTGTTCAGGGATTTTGCAGGATTGGGGGGTCTAAGTCCATATCTATGGCCCTTGTGAAGATAAAGCCACAGAATGAGTTGGGAGATATCATTTCAGAATTTTGTGTGTAAAATTCAACCGTTTCCGAATAATCCAAATTGGTTTCTTCATTTTTGTTCAGAGGGTTGTATAGAAATGGCGGGTCTAAGTTCATATCTATGGCCCTTGTGAAGGAAAATTCATAGAATGAATCGGGAAATGTAAGGAAATGTCATTTTAGAACCTTGTGTAGAACTCAACCGTTTCCGAGTAATAATTCAAATTGATTTCTTCATGTTTGTAGAGAGGATTTTGCAGGAATGACGGGTCTAAGATCATATCTATGGGCCTTGTGAAGACAAATCAACAGAATGAGTTGGGAGATATCATTTCAGAACCTTGTGTAAATTTCAACCGTTTCCGAGTAATAATTCAGGTTGGTTTCTTCATTGTTGTTCAGCGGGTTGTGCAGGAATGGCTTCAATTTCGAAAAGTGGAAAAGTCGAAAAGTAAAAAGGCTTCGTTTTGAATTTCGAAAAATCGAAAAGTCGAAAAGTTGAAAAGTTGAAAAGTATACTTTTTGACTTTTCACTTTTTGACTTTTTGAAATTTGTCGGATGTCTTTCCAATTGAACATGTGCAGCTCTTTTTTCCAGCTTAGGGATCTACTGTACTGGAAGACACGTCGTAGTAGAGGGATGCGGAGGGTATTCGAACTATGCATATTATTAAATGAATATTAATATACTAATTCAATGATCTGAGAATGATCTCCAGCATCTTTAAGCCACCTCTCCTGAGCCAGCCTCAGAGGCTCCCGAATCCTGTGCCGCTTGAAGCGTTGGATCTGTTGGGCTCTCAGTTTCATCGCTGACCAAACAGACCAAGGGTATCAATGGAAGAAGAGATCCAGTATAGACCACTGACGTCACGAGAATCACGAAGGTGTAACCATGTTGGTCTGCCAGGATCCCACCAAGCAAGGCTGCACCACCCCAACTTTCAACACCGATACTCAAAAATGCGTTCCACATGCCTCTCTCTTTTGAGGGTGTAAAGTCTGCCACCACTGAATCAAGCAAAGGCTTGATGCAACTCCCCAGGCCACGGCGGAAGAGGAAAACTACCACGAGCATCGGGGCTGGCAATCCAAAGCGAAGCAAGAAAGTCAGAGCGGTGCATAATGTGAAAATCGAAAGCATGGTAGGTGCTCGACCAAAGTGTTTCGAGATCCATGCCCCTGCTTTGGTGAATATTGCGACAAAGAACCAAGAACATCCATCAAGCAGGTTGACTTTAACGAGCGACAGGTGAACGTCGTTCTTGAAGAAAAGGGTGAAGAAAGGCGCTATGAGACCACCTCCAACAATTGACACAACAGAGAAAGTCACGCACAGAATCGGAACCCGGCGACCTGTGCATCTCTTCACTGACAGGTTCAACAGGTTCGACACATTGATCCTGACATTGCTGTCATTGCCCTGTGTTGCCTCTGGGCGGGCGGCAAAGCCCTCCTTTGGGCCACGCTCCATCGATTCTCTGGTAAGCGGATCAACAAAGGTGAAAATGATGGAGGCAATGGGAGCCACCACAACCAGGCCACATACAAGTGCAAGCTTCACGTGACTTGCAGAACTTGACCCACTCGAAGCAAGGATTACCACTGCTGCAAGAACTGGGCCGCTGGCTGTGCCTAGTAGGTAGCAAACAAACTGCTTGACGAAAATTCCTTCCCTCTTGCCTTCAGGGATGCTGTCAGTCAAAATGGATCTCGAAGCACTTTGACAAAGCACGAGAAAAATCGCACAGCAACTGATAAGGACTGTCGCCCAAGCAAAGTGGTCTGTGTACCACAAGAATCCTCCAATGATCACCGTGGCCAAACCAAAGAGAAGGGACGCCCTCAAAGGTCGTGTCCGTCGCGTGGAGTCACGATCGACCAACCAACCGATGGGAACCACAGAGAGCAGCTTCACCACTCCATAAACACCTTGGTTGAAACCAACCAGCGAATTGGGCCCGGTGCTGACTGATCTCATTGGGCCCTGAGCACCAAGGGCTGTCTCGTAGAGGTAAAGCACAAAAACGGGTCCTGTCATGATCTGCTCAAAGATGCCCAAACAGAAAGACAAGGCAAATGCGCTGCGGATATTGGTGGACTTCAACTCGCTCATGTCGGCGGTGGCAAAATGAGGTTGGGTTCGGGCCAAACAGCTGGAGCATCTGGAGCCAAAGCCATTTATATATTATTACTATCACCATCTATCACCTATCTATCACCTATCTCCGTGGCCAACAACTACACAACTACAACGCTGTATACGGCGATGCAGGGCCGGGCCCGTCGTCAGTCGGCAAGTCACACAATGCTGACGTTGCATCGAAGTCCCAAGACCGTCATCAGCGGCGTCTGGATCTGAATGGTCTCTGAGATGCAGCAGGGCTGTCCAGCGATGCGCAGAGTCGAGATGCATTCCCCTCGTCCTGGTGGCCGGAGATGGCAGGTTTTGCATGGTTTTGCACTGCATCCCTGCCACAAAACCACAAAAAAACACTGAGAACTGAGGAACACATCCCAAAAAATGCAAAGCTTGGACTTTCCGTTTCTGGCCGAAAGAAAAATAACATGCATACAGTAGATTGCCCCCAACATCTCCGGGAGCGTAACAGTCATTGCAAACCACATAAACCACCATCCACCGGCGAGTTTCGGTAGTGATGATGGGGTTCATATGGCATGCTGCAGTTGCCATGCACCCCAAAGTCGCAAGCTTTGAAATTCCAGCTGTGCTGCATCAAGCAATCAGTGAAGCTGGTGTGGTTTGGAAAAAAGGCCTCCACTGTGAAGAGCCATGAAGTTAGGATCCATGGTGGGGGATGGCTGGGCCTGGTAGAATGCCAGGGTTGCCTTGGGGAAAAGAAATGCAAATAATTAAATTCAATCAATACAAAACATGCTATTTGTTGGAGGTTTTAACCCACTGTGCTACAACCAGTGATATAAATTGGTTACCCTGGGTCGTATCTAGAAGTTCCATGGGTTAAGTAAGCATGGTCCAACCATCCAATTCTCGAAAACCACAAGCCGTGCTGCACAAAGAAAAACAATAAAAAACATCTTTGAACGGGATTCTATCTATCTATCTATCTATCTATCTAAAGTCTATCTATTTATCCGTCTAAGTCTATCTATCTATCTATCTATCTATCCATCTATCTATCCATCTAAGTCTATCTATCCAAAGTGTTTCTATCTAAAGTCTGTCTATCTAAAGTCTATCTATCTAAAGTCTATCTATCTAAAGTCTATCTATCTAAAGTCTATCTATCTAAAGTCTACCTATCTAAAGTCTATCTATCTAAAGTCTATCTATCTAAAGTCTATCTATCTAAAGTCTATCTATCTAAAGTCTATCTATCTAAAGTCTATCTATCTAAAGTCTATCTACCTAAAGTCTACCTAAAGTCTATCTAAAGTCTATCTACCTAAAGTCTGTCTAAAGTCTATCTACCTAAAGTCTATCTACCTAAAGTCTATCTATCTATCTGTCTGTCTGTCTATCTACCTATCTATCTACCTACTGTATCTATCTATCTGCCAAGGAGTATCTACCCACCTGTCTGTCTGTCTGGCTGGCTGGCTGTCTGTCTGTCTGTCTGTCAAACTGTCTGTCTGTCTGTCTGTCTGCCTGCCTGCCTGTCTGTCTGTCTGTCTGTCTGTCTGTTCGTCCATCTATATGTATATCACCGTACTCCTCTTGCAACCCACAAACCTACCGTTGACCAAGGTTTACGCCCTGGTAATTTAACATATTTTAGTTATGGAAAATCAACATCTTATAAATTTATCGAACAAAATGAACCAAAATGGGGAATGAATAATGTTGGGTTAGGATTAATAAAACCCCCAAATTAATCATACCCGTTTTCACCGGAAATTTTTGGGCAATACTAAAGTCCTCTACGTGCTGATTTCCCCCCCTAATAATGGAACACCACCCCCGAATTAATCATACACCTCCGGGATCCCCAAATTTTTGGTGGGACTAATTTGCTATTACTCCCTTTTACTTTTTAATTCGGATTACAATTTCCAGGGTTACTTCCTATTTTGGTTTACCATAGGTATTCTTATCTTTTCTCATTGGAATCTCATGGTTTACCATTCATTTTCGAATCTTCCCTCATAGGAATTTGATGGTTTCTACGTGGTTTCCTCATCTTCCCTCAGATGGTTTACCAAAGGTTTTCTGATCTTTTCTCATTGGAATTTGATGGTTTACCATAGGTTTTTTCATCTTTTCTCATAGGAATCTCATGGTTTACCATTCATTTTCGAATCTTCCCTCATAGGAATTTGATGGTTTACCATACGTTTTCTGATCTTTTCTCATAGGAATCTCATGGTTTACCATTTATTTTCGAATCTTTCCTCATAGGAATTTGATGGTTTCTACGTGGTTTCCTCATCTTCCCTCAGATGGTTTACCAAAGGTTTTCTGATCTTTTCTCATTGGAATTTGATGGTTTACCATAGGTATTCTTATCTTTTCTCATTGGAATCTCATGGTTTACCATTCATTTTCGAATCTTCCCTCATAGGAATTTGATGGTTTCTACGTGGTTTCCTCATCTTCCCTCAGATGGTTTACAATAGGTTTTCTAATCTTTTCTCATCGGAATCTCATGGTTTACCATTCATTTTCGAATCTTCCCTCATAGGAATCTGATGGTTTACCATAGGTTTGCTTATCTTTTCTCATAGGAATCTGATCTTTCCTCATCCACTTCGCAAGTATGCTCTTGCAACGTGGCACTTTTCTTACTACTACTACTACTACTACTACTGCTGCCGCTGCTGCTGCTACTGCTGCTACTACTGCTACTACTACTACTATTGCTACTACTACTACTACTACTGCTACTACTACTGCTACTGCTGCTACTACGGCTACTACTACTACTACTACTACGACGACGACGACGTAATTTGATATGCACATATACAAATGGATCCGGATAAGCCACAACCAAAATTAAGAGGGCATCTTGAAGGCACCCTCTATCAGTGCAAGGGCTGTGCTTTCAGGGGGTCGAAGCCGCACTATTGCCAAACACACTGGTTTCAGAGGTTTTTTGTGGGTTGGCTCATCATGTTGGGAAGAGGTGCCTCTCTTTCAACGCAAGAGCTGTGCAATCAGTCGGTCGAAGCCGCACTATTGCCAAACACACTGGTTTCAGAGGTTTTTTGTGGGTTGGCTCATCATGTTGGGAAGAGGTGACTCTCTTTCATTGCAAAAGCTGTGCTTTCATTAGGTCGAAGCCGCACTATTGCCAAACACACTGGTTTCAGAGGTTTTTTGTGGGTTGGCTCATCATGTTGGCAAGAGGTGGCTCTCTTTCATTGCAAGAGCTGTGCTTTTATTAGGTCGAAGCCGCGCTATTGCCAAACACACTGGTTTCAAAAGTTTTTTGTGGGTTGGCTCGTCATTTTGGGAAGAGGTGGCTCTCTTTCACTGCAAGAGCTGTGCTTTCAGTCGGTCGAAGCCGCACTATTGCTAAACACCGTGGTTTCAGAGGTTTTTTGGCTCATGATAATGGGAAAAGGTGTCTTTTTATCGTTATTTGGTGGGGTTTTATTAATTGGGGGGGTTGTTTGGGGGTTTGGCTGCGGGTTTGGTTGGGGGGTTAGGGGGGTGTTGCGCATTGTGTTTTTGATTCCGGAAAACCCCTTCCAGGCCCAGTCTGTGGTTCTATAAAGCCTTTTCTCGCCATTTAGGGCAAGCCCCCGTGGCATAGTGGTGTAGCATAGGTTTTGAGCCCCTTGACCCGGGTTCGATTCCCGGAGGGTGCGTCTTGCAGCCCGGGGGTGGCACACAGCCGGCTTGAATGCTTGTGCTTCTTTCTCTGCCACTGCTTTCATTAGGTCGAAGCCGCGATATTGCCAAACACACTGGTTTCAGAGGTTTTTTGTGGGTTGGCTCATCACGTTGGGAAGAGGTGACTCTCTTTCATTGCAAGAGCTGTGCTTTCATTAGGTCGAAGCCGCGCTAGTGCCAAACACACTGGTTTCAGAGGTTTCTTGTGGGTTGGCTCATCATGTTGGGAAGAGGTGACTCTCTTTCATTGCAAGAGCTGTGCTTTCAGTAGGTCGAGCCGCACTATTGCCAAACAGACTGGTTTCAGATGTTTTTTGTGAAGTTGCCATCAATTGGGCAATTAATTATTCAACAACTACATCAACATTGCCTGATCTTTCCTCATCCACCTCGCAAGTATAATATACGTTTGCAATGTGGCAGTTTCAAGACGCCAAAACTGGAAAAAAAAACACATCCCCCAAATGATCGATGTCTAATTATAATTTAATTAAAAAATGCTGTTTTTGGGAGCTCAGAAAGGCTACCCCCCTTGAGCGGTGTCCCCCCCACAAATAAAAGGACGCCCCCCCCAATTAGTAAACCCCAGCCAGCTGCGATGATTTTTTTACATGCGTGCTTCAGACTGCAATCAATTAAGCAATGAATTAGTTCAACAACTATATCAACATTGCCTGATCTTTCCTCATCCACCTCGCAAGTATAATATACTTTTGCAATGCGCCAGTTTCAAAACGCCAAAACTGGAAAAAAAACGCATCCCCCAAATGATCGATTTCTAATTAAAATTTAATTAAAAAATGCTGTTTTTGGGAGCTCAGAAAGGCTACCCCCCTTGAGCGGTGTCCCCCCCACAAATAAAAGGACGCCCCCCCCAATTAGTAAACCCCAGCCAGCCGCGATAAGTTCTTTTGTATGCGTGCTTCAGATTGCAATCAACTAAGCAATGGATTGATTCAACAACTACATCAACATTTCTTGATCTTTCCTCATCCACCTCGCAAGTATAATATACTTTTGCAATGTGGCAATTTCAAGACGCCAAAACTGGAAAAAAAACGCATCCCCCAAATGATCGATTTCTAATTAACATCTAATTAAAAAATGTTGTTTTTGGGAGCTCAGAAAGGCTACCCTCCTTGAGCGGTGTCCCCCCCACAAATAAAAGGACGCCCCCCCCAATTAGTAAACCCCAGCCAGCCGCGATAAGTTCTTTTGTATGCATGCTTCAGATTGCAATCAACTAAGCAATGAATTGATTCAACAACTACATCAACATTGCCTGATCTTTCCTCATCCACCTCGCAAGTATAATATACTTTTGCAATGTGGCAATTTCAAGACGCCAAAACTGGAAAAAAAAACGCATCCCCGAAATGATCGATTTCTAATTAAAATTTAATTAGAAAATGCTGTTTTTGGGAGCTCAGAAAGGCTACCCCCCTTGAGCGGTGTCCCCCCCACAAATAAAAGGACGCCCCCCCCAATTAGTAAACCCCAGCCAGCCGCGATGATTTTTTTTGTATGCGTGCTTCAGATTGCAATCAATTAAGCAATGGATTGATTCAACAACTACATCAACATTGCTTGATCTTTCCTCATCCACCTCGCAAGTATAATATACTTTTGCGATGTGGCAGTTTCAAGACGCCAAAACTGGAAAAAAAAAACGAATCCCCCAAATGATCGATTTCTAATTAAAATCTAATTAAAAAAATGCTGTTTTTGGGAGCTCAGAAAGGCTACCCCCCTTGAGAGGTGTCACCCCCACAAATAAAAGGACGCCCCCCCCAATTAGTAAACCCCAGCCAGCCGCGATGAGTTTTTTTTATGCGTGCTTCAGATTGCAATCAATTAAGCAATGAATTAGTTCAACAACTATAGCAACATTGCCTGATCTTTCCTCATCCACCTCGCAAATATGCTTTTGCAATGCGGCACTTTTTACTACTGCTACTACTACTGCTGCTGCTGCTAATACTACTGCTAATACTACTGCTACTACTACCACTACCACTACTGCTGCTGCTACTGCTGCTACTACTGCTACTACTGCTACTTCTTCCTCTTCTACTACTAATACTACTAATACTACTAATACTACTAATACTACTCATACTACTAATACTACCAAAACTACTAATACTACTAATACTACAAAGTACTACAAAGTACTACAAAGTACTACAACAACTACTACTACTTCTACTGCTACTGCTACTACTACTACTACTACATCAACTACAACTACAACTACAACTACTACTACTACTACAACGACCACGACGTAATTTGATAGAAGGCACCCTCTATCAGTGCAAGGGCTCTGCTTTCAGTAGGTCGAAACCGCACTATTGCCAAACACACTGGTTTCAGATGTTTTTTGTGGGTTGGCTCATCATGTTGGGAAGAGGTGGCCCTCTTTCATTGCAAGAGCGGTGCTTTCAGTACGTCGAAGCCGCACTATTGCCACACACAGTGGTTTCAGAGGTTTTTTGTGGGTTGGCTCATCATGTTGGGAAGAGGTGACTCTCTTTCAATGCAAGAGCTGTGCTTTCAGTAGGTCGAAGCCGCACTATTGCCAAACACACTGGTTTCAGAGGTTTTTTGTGGGTTGGCTCATCATGTTGGGAAGAGGTGACTCTCTTTCATTGCAAGAGCTGTGCTTTCATTAGGTCGAAGCCGCGCTATTGCCAAACACACTGGTTTCAGAGGTTTTTTGTGGGTTGGCTCATCATGTTGGGAAGAGGTGACTCTCTTTCATTGCAAGAACTGTGCTTTCATTAGGTTGAAGCCGCGCTATTGCCAAACACACTGGTTTCAGATGATTTTTGTGGGTTGGCTCATCATGTTGGGAAGAGGTGGCTCTCTTTCATTGCAAGAGCTGTGCTTTTATTAGGTCGAAGCCGCGCTATTGCCAAACACACTGGTTTCAAAAGTTTTTTGTGGGTTGGCTCGTCATTTTGGGAAGAGGTGGCTCTCTTTCACTGCAAGAGCTGTGCTTTCAGTCGGTCGAAGCCGCACTATTGCTAAACACCGTGGTTTCAGAGGTTTTTTGGCTCATGATAATGGGAAAAGGTGTCTTTTTATCGTTATTTGGTTGTGTTTTTATTAATTGGGGGGGTTGTTTGGGGGTTTGGCTGCGGGTTTGGTTGGGGGGTTAAGGGGGTGTTGCGCATTGTGTTTTTGATTCCGGCAAACCCCTTCCAGGCCCAGTCTGTGGTTCTATAAAGCTTTTTCTCGCCATTTAGGGCAAGCCCCCGTGGCATAGTGGTGTAGAATAGGCTTTGAGCCCCTTGACCCGGGTTCGATTCCCGGAGGGTGCGTCTTGCAGCCCGGGGGTGGCACACTGCTGGCTTGAATGCTTGTGTGTTGTGCTGCTTTTCACCGCCAATGTCTTGCTGTTATGATAGCTACCTTTGCCTGCTTCTGGACTTTGCCTCTAATTACTTCACGGTGGCTTTCTTTCATTGCAAGCGCTGTGCTTTCATTAGATCGAAGCCGCGCTATTGCCAAACACACTGGTTTCAGAGGTTTTTTGTGGGTTGGCTCATCATGTTGGGAAGAGGTGGTTCCCTTTCATTGCAAGAACTGTGCTTTCAGTACGTCGAAGCCGCACTATTGCCAAACACACTGGTTTCAGAGTTTTTTTGTGGGTTGGCTCATCATGTTGGGAAGAGGTGACTCTCTTTCATTGCAAGAACTGTGCTTTCATTAGGTTGAAGCCGCGCTATTGCCAAACACACTGGTTTCAGATGATTTTTGTGGGTTGGCTCATCATGTTGGGAAGAGGTGGCTCTCTTTCATTGCAAGAGCTGTGCTTTCAGTAGGTCGAAGCCGCACTATTGCCAAACACACTGGTTTCAGAGGTTTTTTGTGGGTTGGCTCATCATGTTGGGAAGAGGTGGCCCTCTTTCATTGCAAGAGCTGTGCTTTCAGTAGGTCGAAGCCGCACTATTGCCAAACACACTGGTTTCAGAGGTTTTTTGTGGGTTGGCTCATCATGTTGGGAAGAGGTGACTCTCTTTCATTGCAAGAACTGTGCTTTCATTAGGTTGAAGCCGCGCTATTGCCAAACACACTGGTTTCAGATGATTTTTGTGGGTTGGCTCATCATGTTGGGAAGAGGTGGCTCTCTTTCATTGCAAGAGCTGTGCTTTTATTAGGTCGAAGCCGCGCTATTGCCAAACACACTGGTTTCAGAGGTTTTTTGTGGGTTGGCTCATCATGTTGGGAAGAGGTGACTCTCTTTCATTGCAAGACTATTGCCAAACACACTGGTTTCAGAGGTTTTTTGTGGGAAGGTTCATCATGTTGGGAAGAGGTGACTGACTCTCTTTCATTCCCTCATGGGAGTCTGATGGTTTACCATTTAATTTCTATTCTTTCTCCATAGGAACCTTATGGTTTACCAAGGGTTTTCTTTTTTTCTCATAGGAACCTGATGGTTTTCCACTAGTTGTCTAACCTTTTCCCATAGGAATCTGATGGTTTTTGCGTGGTTTCCACACGTTCCCTTATAGGAATCTGATGGTTGACCGCTAATTTTTCTAATCTTTCCCATAGGAATCTGTTGTTTTGCCATTGGTTTTGAAATCTGTTCCCATAGGAATCTGATGGTTTTTGCGTGGTTTCCCCGTTCCCTCATAGGAATCTGATGGTTGACAATGATTTTTTTAATCTTTCCCCATAGGGATCTGATCTGATGGTTTACCTTTGGTATTCAAATCTTTTCCCATAGGAATCTGATTGTTTTTTCCGTGGTTTCCTCATCTTCCCTCATACGAATATTGATGGTTTACCATTAATCCTCTAATCTTTCCCCAAAGGAATCTAATGGTTTACCAAGGGTTTTCTTTTTTTCTCATTGGAATCTGATGGTTTACAATATTTTTCTAATCTTTCTCATAGGAATCTGATGGTTTGCCATTGGTTTTCCTATCTTTTCCCATGTGATAATCTGATGGTTTACCATAGGTTTTCCTATCTTTTCTCATAGGATTTTGATTGTTTACCAAACGTTTTCTCATCTTTTCTCATAGGAATCTGATGGTTTGCCATAGGTTTTCTTATCTTTTCTCATGGGAATCTGATGGTATTATATATGTTTTCTTATCTTTTCTCATAGGAATCTCATGGTTTACCATTTATTTTCGAATCTTTCCTCATAGGAATTTGATGGTTTATCATTGGTTTTCCAATCTTTTCCCATAGGAATCTGATGGTTTACCATAGGTTTTCTTATCTTTTCTCATAGGAATCTGATGGTATTATATATATATATATGTTTTCTAATCTTTTCTCATAGGAATCTGATGGTTTACTGTAGGTTTTCTCATCTTTTCTCATAGGAATCTGACGGTTTATCATTGGTTTTCCAATCTTTTCCCATAGGAATCTTGTAATAATCGTTTATGGATGAATGAATGGTCACATTATTTGGGGGGTTCGGTTTTTGGACCTCCTCACTGGACCTTGTTGACCTAGTTGACCTATAAGGGGGGGGGGAGGGGGGGGGTTTATTAATCCGGGGTCAACATTAATTGGTGATATCATGATTTTTAATGGGGATCGAATTCGTCTAAAAAACTACCGTGGCTGCCGTGGCTCATCCAGACTCTCCAGCTCGACGTTCACCCTATGGCTCCGTCGCACGCCGCTGGCTCCGTCGTACGCCACATAGTAACCTCGCCGTGGGGACCACGGAGTCACGGAGGCGCCCGGGGTTTCACCGGAGAAAGCGTTGGATCAGTCGGACGATGTGTGTCGCCAATTTGAATAACAACATGTGTGTCTTTTCAAAAAGACATTGTACTTCAAAATCATTTGGTCATATTTGGTCTGAAGGAGTTGTTTCCATGTGTTTTGAGTCACTTCCTCAGTGTACTATGCTACTTCCTGCGGCTGCAGAATTCTGCCATTTTGGCGCACAGCGGCTGCCGTCCCCTGTCAAGAGACCGGCTAAATAGAAAAGCCACTGCATAGTCCCAAAGAACATGTAGAGAATCCTCGGCTGTCACTCCTATCCAACCTCCAATCATCTCAAGTAAAGCCCGAATGAGGAACATTTTCTGTGTAAATCGGAATGGGGCACGTCCTTTTGGGGGAGGCTTACCACCGCCTACAACATCGAGAAAGATTTTAAGAGGCTGGTGGCCCATGGCTTAATTTGTGGCTTACCCTCTTCCGAAAGATCTTCAAACATTCCTTAAAAGCGCACCATTCGAACTATGTGGTCTCCCATGTCCCACTGCATCCACGGGACATCACCAGCCGACCGCTGCGCCGGTGAAGAATCGCATGATGCGAGTACCACAAGCAGATGGAACGCCCCAGGAGCGACAGCGAGAACACCAGCCAAATCCCCTGGCAGAGATTGGGGATGGGTGATCTTTGGGGGTCAAACATTGGGGCACCAAAATTTGGGCCCAGGGCCCAATGGTGATGTATGGCATGGAACCTTACTACACAAAAAAAACCATCCTTGCCTCGGAGATGCCAATCTGTGGTCCACTGTTCAATCAAACATAAGTCTGATGTGTAATATGAAGTCATAAAATCTACCCTCTGGTAAACGTTTACATAACTATGGAAAATCACCATGCTATTCATGGGTAGTCATCCACTATTTTAATGGCCATGGCTTCAAATACCATATGGCACCAGCAATTCTCAAACAACCACCGTGGCTGTGGCTTTGCTGCACCTGTATGATGGTGCCCTCTGCCAGCGTAAATAGAGGCGAGACTGGATGATCGCTCTCATTCATCCACTGCGTCATCAACATGCAAAAGCACAGCTCCACCAAAATGCCCGTGTAAAACGGCATGCGGGTCGCATTCATACGATGTGCCACATCCTCTTTTTGAAAGTTTGTGTGAAAAAGCGACTCCCCAAAGCAACCCCAACATGATTAATGTCAGCAGCTTCAAAACATTCAGACTCAACCTGACATGTTCAGCTACAGCCCGCCGTGTTTGATCGCAGGGTATATCCTAACCAGATCCTAACTATAGATGATGTAGGTGTCCTAAAATGGGGACACCGGGATACCATCATCCAAGTCATTAGACTCATTAGACCAATTCATAATACTGAAACCTCCCCTTAAGCCTTAAATGACTTAAGAAACCCCTAAAAACCATAAGAACTGAGGAGGTCCTGTCCAAACTGACTGCCAGTGGAAGAGTCGCTGCATTCACTGCCCGCCATGGCGAGATGAGATTTGCAAGATGGAGATCTGCTAATTGCGGAAGGTTCCCATTCAGTGGCTGTCTTAAAGAAATCTCAAAGTGATAGAACAAGTAACTACAAGGTCGTACAAAGTAATAGAACATCCGTAAAAGTGCTAGAACGTTCATATGTTCAAAATAAAACAACTATATAAATCATTATAAATCTACACTTCCAGAGGCTGGTCACATCTGATCATCTGGTCACCAATAAAACATGAAGCCACAACATTCAGAAACCAACGTCTCCAGGTGCTCCCTTCAATCAGAGGCTCAGGGCCTCACAAAAAGGCTCCAAAATCGTCGCTAGAGTTGGCTCTTCAGCTCAGCAAATGCTGATTTTTCCAGCAAAAACAGACTTGGTTCAAGTAAAAATATGGGTATGGGTCAATACCTATAGATACATTTTTAATGGGATGAACATCCGTTTACCAGCTATTTTGGGGTTCACTAGGTACCAGGGTTTTGACTCATAGCCATATGCGGGATTTTTCTCTTGGAATAAACAACCATAGTTTGCTGGTTTTTTCCCCCCAATCCGCTGTGTCCATCTGGGTAGGGCCAGGGCTGCAAGGCTCAAAAAGGGCCAGGAAGCCGGGTCCACGGCCATGTCACTATGCTCTCAATGGCAAAAAACTAGGCCATTCTCAACAAACCAGGAACGTTACCAAAACAGGTTATATATAATATAATGTATATATATAATATTATATATATATAATATAATATATATACAGTATTGTGTACATATATATATATTGTGTATATATATTGTGTATATATATATATAATATTATGTGTGTGTGTTATGCACATATGATATATATATATATCATATATGCACATAATTGATCATAATTGGTTGCCTTTTCTTCAAAATGGAACCCCAGAAAAATCATACGAACGAGATCCAACAAGCCCAGTCCAGGGGTTGGTTGACATTTCGGCCAGCCAAGGTACAAGGAGCATGTTCAGGAAAACCCACCTGTCAAAGAGTGGCCCCTGTGGTAGACAACCTGTGAAGAACTCCCCAGAAAATCGACATGTAGACAGCAAAACCTAGATATGGACAGTACAAACATATACTGTGTCATACATACATATGTGTGTGTGTGATTCTCTCTCTCTATATATATATATTTATCATGTGTATACATGATATCATATGTATATAGATGATTTAGCTATTGGAGATGTTTAAGAATTGGAACTTTGATTGAGCCAAAGCAACCTGATAAGTGGTGTCACTTTGACGATGTCACCTTCAGGACCATACCGAGATGGCATACTTATTTTAGCAACTGGGAAGCAACATGCCAAATGGGTTATGCCATACCATGGCTATATGCCAAATAAATCAGGGTTCAGATAAGGGGGGAGGAGTTGTGCAGATGGTTTTGGTAGATACAGAGCGGAATGCATAGGGTGCACAACTACAAAATGCAAGGGCATGTACTTTTTTTGCAGCTACAAAATGAAGAACATAACTCTTTCTGGCTCGGAAAATAATTCAAAACCAGTACTACAAAATCCAATGCATCTGAAGTCAAAAAAATAGCTGAACGTCGGAATTTCTAACATGATTTTTCCCAATGACATTTTGTAGTTGGGTCTTTGCCATCCAAAGTTCCGACGAACATAAATTCGGAGAACATTTTGTAGTTGTCAATGATTGAATTTAGTTGGATCAAGTGTTGACCCCGTGCAGTTTGTTAGATGGTATTCTGTTAGATGACAAAATGCTAATGAGATTTTATGTTGGATGCTTCAACTAACTCAACATATACAACTACAAAATGAAAATGCATGATTTGAAAGGAATCAACTACAAAATGATTCCAAATACAAAATGGGGGGCACAACCCCTCCTGTTTGTACAAAAAAATCCTGGCTGGCAATCTGTACTGTAGCCCAAGTCCTCCCCATTTCGTAGCTGAAATTTGAAGGAGGATCCAAATAAAAGCCATGGCTAGGTGTTGCTTGGAGTTGTAGTCCATTTTTCATGTTGACTAGCCAACAATTACTAGCCTAGTTTGTAGTGGTCTTCAAACAATGAAACAGTTTTTCCATGTCCTTTCCCCAGTATTTTCTGGCAGTGATTTACTGACCACCATCCCTCATGCCAAGATGCCAGGCGCCCTGAAGGCTATCCTGAGATCGCCAATGGCACGTGAGCAAACGGGAGTCCCCACGAGCCTGGAACCATCGAACCTGAAAATTTGACAAGATTATTTTTTTTATATAGAATGGGGCCCGGGGTGTAAAGATGTGTAAAGTACCATGTTGCATTTTAAATCCTCTGCGAGCTGTGAACTGTGATCCATCCAACATGTTAGGTTTTCAATGGTCATCACTTTCCCCACCATGGTTTGCCCTTGAGATGGCCTGCCACCAGGCAACCCATGGGAGCTGTGAGGCATAGAGGCAGGCACCTAGCAGCATGCAGAGCATGGCGCCCAGCATCGCCATGGAAATTCTCAAGGGCTTGGGGTAAAACCTGGGAGGCTGGCTGGGGAGTTATTTATTTATGGGTACCATAAGATGTCAAACTTTCGAACCCCAGAAGTTGGAACATAACTAGCTGTATGGCTGTATTAATGAAATATATCAGCACATATCCATGTATATATATATAGTTATATAGTTATATATATAGTTATGTAAATATATATATATACCTAGAACATCCTGGAACCGCACCCATGTAGTATAGTTTATTATGATTTCTTAGTGACTTCTTTTTATGACTTGGGATTGCCAGGCTCGCTGTTTCTAAATGTTTTTCTTTGGCAAATCCCATGGGTCCCATGGGCTTGTTGCCACCAAGTCTGGGAACCATCCCAGGTGGCGACTGATTTTCAATCGCTGTGATCTCCCCTGCTGGTGAATCGGTGAAAATGCAAAAACTACCGAGCCCTGATGCATCCATCATCATCATCATCATCATCAATAACCATTGATATCATTGATAACATTTGATAACCATTAAACACTACAGTAACAAACCACTACCATCATCATCCATGATCCCCAAACTCATGGCATCTCATGACAGCCCTTTGCTCAACAAGCCCAACTCTGCTCACCAAGCGGCCATTCAATTGGCATGGCAAAAAGGGGCGACAAACATCTGAAAACCACAACCAGCGTCATGGACGAATGCCTCGATGGCAAATGGTTTCCGGATATGTTCCCCCAAATATATCCAACGAATTTCAAAGATTCCCGTGGAAGATATGTTTAAGCAGTTTAAGCATAAATTGAAGACTCCGGGATTTTTTTGGTAAATCATGCATGTTTCTGATTCAATTTCCCAGCATCAGGAGCCACGGACCTTCGACTTGTCAAAGGTACTTAAGTGCAAGCATAGAGGTGAGCAGCATCCCAGAGAAAAATGGCGTGACCAAACACCAACCTCGGAATTGATACCACAGCTGCTTGGTGACAACAAATGGAACTGGCGAATTAGAACCACTTTAAGCGGGGAAAATTATGATCAAACATGGTCAACCACTTGATTATCGGAATTTGGGAGTGCCCTATTTTCAATCCACTGGTTTATTTGTCCCATTGCCTACCAAAAAACGCAAAAAAAAAAAAACATCTTCCTACGCTACACTTATATACGCCATGACTGAAACACCATGCCGACCAGCAACGGAAGAAGTCAGCCATGGAGCCAATGTAAATGTAGCGGAAGCAACACAGTAGGACAGCCCTTGGTGCCGATCAGCGGGAGGATGTTGCAGCTGATGACATCCCCACAGATGATCTATCGTCATCATCACCATCACCACCATCATGGTCATCATGGTCATCATGGTCATCATGGTCATCATGGTCATCATGGTCATCATGGTCATCATGGTCATCATGGTCATCGCCATCGTCGTCGTCATCGTCGTCATCGTCGTCATCATCATCATCATTATCATCATCATCAGCTTAATTATTCATCATCTATCATCAACAATCAATCATCATCAATCAATCCTCACCACTGCCACCACCATCATCGTCGTCATGGTCATGGTCATGGTCATCGCCTTCAATCATCACACCTTTTGTTTTCAGTCAAACATCATTGCTGCATATATTGCTGCAATATGATGCAATATGTAATAATGACATGCTCATGCTAGCAAAGAATGGCCATCACAATGAGATTTTTTCAGAGGTGTCAGAGGATGCCATGCCATTTTTACATATTTTTACCACCATTTTATCCACCAAGCAACACAGAGAACAACATTTGAAGTGCTGTCAATGTGCACCTGAGCGGCAACAGGACCTCTAGGGATCCCTCTCTGGTTATGACATTATGCCAGGGCCAGCCATGGAAAGATCCACCATGGCTATGAATATCACCGGAAACCATGGTTTTTACCATCAAATTTGATGGGGTTTCCGGTTGAAATTTTCCCATCATCCAATGCTATGATAATAGGTAAGGTAAACCGTCTATTTCTATGGGCCATCGAAAAACCATGGCGAACTGTTAGTCATAACCAGAGGGTACCGATGAAAAAACATAGTGATTTTCCACATCTGTGTTAGTTTGCCCAACAGGGTACCGATCTTTTGGGTATCAAGAATGGCCCAACAGCTGCGAGGCTTCTATCCCTACAGCTGGTATGTCACCCCAAGTCCGGGCTCACCATAAGGATAGCTTTGAACCATATGATGGTAAACTATGGTAAACTCCATTTCACCTCGATCCTTATGATCCTTATCCCACCTCGATAAGAACAAGCTCCCAGAATCATTTCCACATCTCGACCTCATCCTGTGCTGAAAAATGTCGATCTGGGCACTCGTAAGGGAAGTGTCCGATGGCCTTTTTATTCAGGACCATCATCGCCACCGAACACAGCATCCACGAAGCAACGCCAGGCACCTGCGAACAGCCCGTAGCTTGAGTCTTGAGATCAAGCAGCCATTGAGCCATTGGAAAATCAGGGAAGACCCATGGAATATTGAGAAAACTTTGCACAATATTCTCAAAACATATAATGAAAAACATGAGACATCCAACTTTGAATCCAAATGTTCATTTATGACCATTTATGTGTTTGATGTTTTTGACTCTTTTGGTCCATATAAAAACACGGAGCACGAAGGGGATAGAAGAAATTCTCATGGATTTGTTGGATGCAACACTCCAATCATCCCAGAACCGCCGACGAAGGTCACTGCAACCCAGGCACTGTCTCCTGGTATAGTCCTGTCGAGCAGTGACCGGAGGAGGCGGAAAAAAAAAAACAGATGCCCCAAGTCTGCAGAAGAAATACATTTCGCCACAGCTTATGGTTGGCCATGGTTGGCCCATCACCATCATCACCGCATCCCCTATTCCCTGGAAAACCCTGAAAACGTGTTCCCTATAGTGGCCTCGTGTATCTTTGGCCATTGCACCATGCGACGTGATGAATCACGGAAGGCCTACTAGGAATCGCGGATTCGATTGGCTTTGATCGAACGTAAGCTGCAAGTGCACTTGCCCAGCTGCGCTGGATGAATGTACCAAGAAGGGCGGTCCCAAATTCCCCAGCCCATCGCCCAAGGGAATTCACAAAGAGGTGTGATCCAAAATGAACAATAGTCCAAATAGATTCCTGAATGAGTGGCTTTCCCATTGGACGTATGAGCACCGCCTAGGCGCCTCGACCTTCCCAAATCGTGGATCCCCATGAAACCGACTGTGACTCATGGTCCCCTTGACCAACCCAAAACTCCTCGGGAAAAGGGTCACCCCAGTCACCCCTGTGGCTGTCTTAAAAAACCATGGCTTTTGAGCAGATTCGCCACTGGCCAATCAGGGAAAAAAATATATTCTTGCACAGAGATCTTCTGCTTGGAAGTGTGAACAGGAGGAACATTCGAGTGCTCAGAAACGACTTTGCTACTTTTTTCTGAAGAAGGATGTGCCCATATATATATAATATATACGTATGTATATGTCTGCATACGTATGTATACATTTGCATATACATGCATATAAAAATTCATATGCACACTGTATATATATATAGTTTTGAAATAGATACACATTAATATGGATATAGTATATAACACACATATATATATATATGTTTCTAGTTGATGTTTATATATATAATTATATAATTCTATATAACATCTATACATTGCTGAGATATACTGCAAATATATTGATATATATATATATAGAATACAGAATATGAATATCTGAGATATATATATATATATATCATCCTATAAATATGTATATATATATATATAAATATATATATATATTAATCCCAGAATATAATATATAATTATAAATATATAAATATATTGATGTTACCATCTCGCAGCACGCTGAACTTCCTGGATCTCCTGGGTTCCCCCTGCGGTGCGGCCACGAAGCGCTCCAGGCGGCCTGCGGTCATCGTCCAACGAGTGCGGCGGCGCTTCGGCGGGGTGGACTTGGCGGCCTGGCTTTTCGGGGAACCTCCAAGGCAGCAAACTAATAGAATTTCATAGGATTTCATGCGATTTAAGGGGATTTTAATGGAGATTTAATATGATGTTGATGGGATTTCATGGGATTTTGATAAGATTCAATGGAGTTTAATGGGATTTAATGGAGTTTCATGGGGATTTTTGCTGGGTTTTAACCGTCAACACTAGGGATTTCATAGGATTTTAACTTTTAAAACCATCCAAGCCACCCTGGTTGACCAAGGTTCAAGTATCCAAAATCTCCATCTGGTTATTTAACATAGCCATGGAAAATCCCTTATAAATTGAGGTGTTAATGTGAAAATCATCTATTAATGGGCCATCTATACCATGGCTATGTTAGTCATAACCAGAGGGTTTTGGTTATATATCAAAGACCCAAACACCAAAGTTTCTGGTGGTGATGAACACCCTTGTGATGAGCCTACCTGTTCTCACAGAAGGGAATACACAGAAATATCAGGTTTTGAATTGGGGTACCCTCTGGTAAACTACTATAACTATGGAAAATCACAATTTTTAATGGGAAAATCCACTATAAATGGTCATTTTCAATAGCTATGTTAAATTAGCAGAGGGTATTTGATCTATAGTACCCATGATTTTCATATGGGAAAGGATGGGAAAGGACTAGATAGACATGGCATCATGGCGATCCGAGACTTGGAAATGGATCACTGGTCTTGGAGGCTCAAAACTTTTTTTTTTGCACATTGGAAGTTAGAAGATGTTGGACTGGTACCAAAACACCGCAATGTTGAGAAGATAAATGATGATGATATATATATATATGTGATATATATATATATACATATATATATATGATATAATTACTTTTTTTTCTAAATGCTAGACCAATGAGAAAGGAGAAAAACATACTAGCTGGCTGGGAGTGACTAATTATGGGCAATGAGATAAGAGCAATCAACGAACCAAAATTGAGAATTGAGACAAACAGCAATGATGATAGGTGGCAGCACCCATTGGAACAATCGCGGTATGTAAAATATGTAAGTACGTATGTGATTGTCCATTGTGAATTGATGAATGGTACAGGAAATCAATATTTGCGAAGATGCAGCCGAATGCCTTCGACAACAAACAATACAAGCACATGTGAAATTAAGCAACAGAACTAGCAACCGTTAATCTCACCAACAACTAAAGGACATAACGAACAACATTGAGAAATTGGACAGTGTTCATTGCACTCCACATCCATCTTGGCCAACAGTCCCCGGGCATCCCTGCGTCAGCCGGCTTCCTCCTTCTATTTGGTGTAGTTGGTCCGCCTTCCATCACCCATAAATGTGGCCTTCCCTCAGAGCTACAGTAACCTATAGATAAGGTTAATCCACCAGTTATGCCATATAATTTCCTGAGGGAACATGAGGAAACTAGGGTTTTTCATGTTTTAGTTTACCTGCTTACCTCATAATTGCCGGGGACCAACTAGCAATCATGATGCTGCATCCAGCTGTGTTTCAGTCAGGACGCATCTGTTTGTCCCAAGCGAGTGCCGAGACACCCCAGTTTCAAGCGGGTAAGGGGGCCTGGAGTATCGCAAAACGCCATGTCAACCACAGCCAATTGGCTGGTGGGTTTAACGGACTTGCTGTACGTACAACAATGAATCATTGGATCCCATGTGTTGGGGATATCTTGGGGACGGAGAGGAAAGAACCCTTGAATCCCCTGATTCCTCGTCATGTCCATTACTGTAGAACTGTTAGAATAACATAGAATACTCTCCGTGAATGAAACGTGGCAATGGGAAGTCCCCTATGGCAATGGAGATGTTAATGGTGGATGTTCCATTGATACATTTGATTACCGGATGGAAACTTGAACTTGGGGGCACCATTTTCCCACACCGCCAATCCATCCCAATCCATCCCAATGCCTGTTCCGTCGGCTGCTCTCCTGAGTTCTGCGACAAAAATGACCCATAAGTTGCCTCCGACCTAAGATAACTTATGGAGAAACCCTGTCTTTTTAATCAAGATATTCTATAATCAATTACCAAAAAATATCAACCTCGGATTAGTGAACTCCAGCTGACTAATTAGGGATATCGGGATATGCGTGGATATCCCCTAGATAGTGGTTATAATCAATTACTGCATATTTAATTCTAGTGATAATCTGCCTTTTTTTCTGGGTACCCAATTTCAAAGCCCAGGGGTGTATCAACATGCAGGGTTAGAGCCCCTACTGCACCTAGACTCTAGCTGCATGCTGGCAGAAGGATGAAGCAAAATATGTCCTTGTTAAAGATTTTAAAAGATCTGCCGTGTATGTATATATTATAGTCTATAGTAACATCCAAAAAAGTAGAACAGTAACACCTAATTCTTCACTGTTTTAGTAGGATATGTATTTTCCATCTTTTTGATAATAATTCTTTTTTGGGGTTGCTATACATCCTGCCAGAATCTCACTCGCCCTCCATCGTTTCTCTCGCAGCATGCTGGTTGCCATGTCCAGTGGCCAAAGTCAGCGTGAAACGACCACTGCTGTGAAACTTAACTCTCGCTTTTAGCCACACCTTCCATGACCAGGATCCAGCCAACTGGGTCTGAAAATGGGGGAGTCCTCCAGTTCAACGACCATTTTATAAGGAAAATGAATGAACATGATGAGAAACCATTGGGTTTCACCCGATTTTCAGACAAAGTCACCTTGCGATTGCGCTGGGTGAACATTTCAGGGACACCACGGTCTGAGGTGGGGAATTCAGCACAGCACAAGGCACTTTCTTTTTAATTACCATCCTTTGGCGGCTTCACCCCAACGTCTTTGACCAGTGAACACGAATTGCAGAAATAAATGGAAAAGGCAAAACATGGAAATTTGTCAGCTACCCTGTGGTACTCTAGCATATTAAAATTGTACCCTTAAAGTAGGTGATTTACTTATGTGATCTTTATGAGAACGAATGAAAATGATTGTTTTCCATGGGTTTTCCGTCACTATCTTAGTTTTAAAAAACCCTAAACCATCCAAAAATCACATGAAATCACATGAATCCACGCGGAACCTGGTTCCATCCGGTTCCGCAACTTTCGCCTTGGCTGCTGCACGTCGTGTTTCGGCGATCGGGTGCGATTTCATCGGCCCATCGCGCCGTTCTTTTTCCAGCTAGCTCGTCCCATCAGCAGCTGGTTGGTATCCCCTGAATGTTTGGGCAAGTGGTGTCCTAAACTTATACATATATATATATTATATGGTATATATATATGGTATATATGGTATATATGGTATATATTGGGGATATACATACCCAAAAAAAACTGGACTATACCTTAATACCTTAAATGTGCTGGCGATTTTTATGCCAGCAATCTCTGCAACTGCGAAGGTGAGATGCCTGATCTGCCCTGAAACAATCGATACATATTTGCATGACCTCAGAACATGTTGCGGCACGTTTCCCTAAGAAAATGATCGTCAACAACCAGATGTTGGCACTTTTGCCATGTTTTCTCCATAGTTCATGGACATTTTGAGGCTTCATGTTGCTATGGAGAAGGTTTCCAAAGAGAAAGGCTGGAGCTGCAAGAATCTGCTGAAGATGGGGGCCAGTTGGGTGTTTACCCAGTGGCCAGCTTTCGAGCAGCCGCTTCACTGCCCGAAGGATCTATGAACTGAGTTCTGGCAGAGTCTGAGCCGCATTTAAATCGTCGAAGTCGGGAAACCACAGTGTGACTTGGTAAAGAAAAAATGATGACTCAGTCTCGCATAATATACGTTTGCCATATTACCACACACACACATATATATATATATTATATATTACCATTGAATTCCAATAGGGTCCTTTTTGTGCTGTGCATCATTCATATTCATTCATAACATTCATGAGCAGGATCAGCATCCCAAATCAGAACTCAAACCTGCTTTGACTGCTTTGTCTGAAAAATGTCTGAAAAGAGGGGGCACACGAAAATCCCCATGATTCCAATATACTCTTTTTTCTGCTTTATCATTGGTTTTCCATGCTCTTCTCATCATTGGTTTTTCACAGCCCAATTTCAGACAAAGCCATGAGAAAATGAGGCCTCCGTGGTGCATTGCTTGGAAGCTTCGCTTAGCTTCATGCGCCCGGGCCGCCATGGATCAACGTGGAAGCCCCAGCCCAAGGTGTCGGAATCGGAGCAGCGAAGCAGACCAACACGTTGAAGATAAAATGAACATGGATAAATGAACATCAATAGAGCCAGAACATCAATAGGCTTAGAATCTCAATAGACTTCGAACATCAGTATAGTTAGAACATCAATTTTTGGTTTAGAACATGTTAGAACATCATAGGGCATCAATGGAGATACCATCTGGTTATTTAACATAGCCATGGAAAATCCCTCATAAATGGAGGTTTTAATGGGAAAATCATCTATAAATGGGCTATTTTCCATGGCTATGTTAAATAACCAGAGGGTAAAACATCCATACTTCCGAATTGTCCACATCCCAACTCTTCAAAACTCAATCCCTTCCAGGCGCTGAAGGGAGCCCAATCCATCCCGTCAGAAGAACGGCGCACCTCGCAGTTGGATGTGATCGTTTGATCGTTTCCCATGTGTTGTTGATATATAAATCATGTTAAACCACTACAAGCATGATACCACATGCATTTCCCAGCTCCAAAAAAAGTGAACGCAAAGAACATCCAGTTTCCGAAACTCGAATCTCAGTGATCTCAAAAAGAGATGTTTGCATCCAACATCAACCCATCAAGACACTGAAAAAAAAAACAAATCCATTCAGAATCTCCGAGAAAAATCCATGCAAAAAAGAAGCAACGAGTTTTATCACATACATTCAAAATCATTCAGATATCATCAAAACCATTGGGAAAAATATCAGATATCATCAAATCATATCAAATCCACTCAAGAATCTGTCAAAGGTCAATCAAAAGCCCATCAAAAATCCATCATATCCCGATGAAAATCTCGTGCCTGGCAGCTAGTGGCCCGACATGAGCACGGCGGCGGTGGCGGAGGCACAAACGTTGTTCTGCTCCTCCGTGTTCTCCAAGCCCGAGAATTGGACCTGCGCCGGAACCGGATGTATATTGAACAGTTTGCTATTGAAAGTGGCCAATTTATAGTTGATTTACCTATTCATTGTTCATTAAAGATGGTGATTCTATGTGATTCTCCATAGCTACCATGATAGTATGTTAGGTACCATGATAGTATGTTAGGTACGATATATGATATAGATATAGAATGATATAGACATATAGAGATTGAAAATCCATGGGCAAGGGGAATAATTGCCCAATGCGAATCACTTGCCAAGTTTTTGGATTTATCCTGAGTTTTTCCCCACTTTTTCCAAGCCGTCGCGGCTGAGGGTTGAGACCCACCAAGCAGCTGAAGGGTTCCAGTGACAGGTGCGCCAGCCGCCAGCCTTGATCACACTTTTGTTGGACTGGTTGTGTTTCTTCTTCCATTGCCTACACCAAAGAGGCTGCTCCGGGCGATGAAAAATGGCGGCTGCTGGGATCCCAATAAATCCTCATAAAGGATTGTATAAACATGGTGCCGAAGAATTAATGGTTAAATATGGTTAAATCACATTGCTAGAGCCATTTTTGATAGCTTCAGGGATCATCCAAGTATGAGATGAAGCTCTTCAAGCAGGTCCGGAAGGGACGACTTGCTGGGAAACCGCTCAGCCACCTCGTGATGGTTCCAACCTTGAGATGCCTCAACTTGTCTCATGGGAATCCCTCAGTTGGCTCCAACTGTTCTACGACGTTCTACGCACCTCAATATGTTCATGTTCGGATGTTCATCGCTCTTCCCAGTGCCTGGTAATTTTTTCCTGGTGCTGCCCAGAAAATTTCAAAAAGGTTGCCTGAAGCTCCAGCGGACCGAGTTTCGCAGTGGGTCAACCCAACTTGGTCCTCAAAAATAAATGTACCCTCTGGTAACGTGGCAATGGGAAATTCCCTTTAAATGAAGGTTGCAGTAGGAGAATCATGAACATCATAATTCATCTAAATGGACCCGCACTTCATGGTCTGAAAACATCCAACTTGAAGGCGAATAATTCTGAGACATGCCGTTATGTTTAACTGGCTTGCCCGGCTGGTGCCTGGACAAACTCTAGCCGGTGAGCCTCGATGATCCCACATCTCAGTTTCAATGATCCATAGTGCCATAGTGCACTGCATGTCTCCCAGATTTCGACTTGACTTGACTTCATTTAGAATTTAATCAGTATAGATTATATGAAATAGTATGCCCAATCAATTCTATCCCTTTTCTTTTCTCATCCCAGCAAAGACCCAATTCCACAGACATAAACCCATAAACATCCATAAACCCCCCGCTCGTCGGATGGCACCCCACAATCGCCCAATTCCATCCACTTCCGGCTCTGCAAAAACTCCTGGCCTTACTGATCTGAAGAAGCTCACATACTGTAGCCGTAGAAACAGTCAGCGTGGATCTATAGGGTTCCTGGCAATCTCGGGGGGGGCCGTGGTCAAGCCAGCACAGGGGCTGGTAGGAATGGGAAAGTAAGAAGGAGTTGAAACTCTGATGCAAACATCTTGGATTTGCCTCGGGGTTCCCCACCGAAAAATATGTGCAAAAAATGATATATCCAAAAGGAGATTCCCCACATGGTGGATTTCCCATAGGGAAAATTTGAACAATCCTTTCAGCAAACACAGGTTATCAGTTGGAGAATGATGAAGATATCACAACTGATCTGATTCCAGAGTTCGGGGACCATCCCTTTGGTTTACCCTCAGACATGGCCGAAGAAACCCTCCGCTACTCCAATGATTGAAGACATCTCCAAAGATAGAGGCTTTGCTGGGAAAAACATCCAGTTTTAGCTGGGTCATGTTCAACTGATTCCAACTGACTCACACATAAAAAATCATACCATCTGGTTATTTAACATAGCCATGGAAAATCCCTCATAAATGGAGGTTTTAATGGGAAAATCATCTATTAATGGGCCATCTATACCATGGCTATGTTAGTCATAACCAGAGGGTAAAAAGGAGCTCGGGCAGTGTGATGTTTTTTCGTCCGAGGGTCGGGTGAGGACAGCGTCTCATAGTCCACCACTGTGACACGATATTTGCCTGGCAAACAGCTTCTTGCGAAGGAGCGGCCACGGAAGGCCAACGAAGATTCATCAAAAAAGCTTGGGATCTAGATCCAAGGGCGCAAGGGATTTAGTTACATAAGTTTGTTTAATTATATCAACATCCTTCAGCTGGAAAGATGCAAACAAAATAAAAGAAACGCGAGTTTAGTAGGACATGGGGGATGATTTATGGGTTTATCACTATGGCACTACGGGAATATGGTACCATAGCTACCCTTCACCCGTCCCTCCGTTCACCACAATCTCCGCCTGTCGAACTCTTCCACCGATCAAGGGTCTCCTCGGAGATGTTCGCACTGACCATGGGAAGTTGACCAACAGAAATACGGATTTCACCAACAAAGTTGGGACCACCAGCAAGCATAGTGCAAAAAAAACAACGCAACCTTTGAGGATGTCACTTGCGTGAGCATTCGCTAATTTGACGAAGGGGTTTGATGCGTGAAACCAATCATTAGACACGAGGGTCGAGGGTCGCTCTATATATATATATACATATACATATACATATACATATACATGTACATTTACATATACATGTACATATACATGTACATATACATATACATTTACATATACATATACATGTACACATACATATAGATATACATATACATGTACATATACATATAGATATACATATACAATAATATACATATATATATATATATGTACATATAGGCTCGTCCCAGGTCCTGGAACTACATACGATGGGGTGGGGGGATGGGGTGGGATGTTAACGTTCATGTGAACTTGCAGAAGCAGTTGATGCTAAGCACACGCGGGGTGGGGTGGGATGTTAACGTTCATGTGAACTTGCAGAAGCAGTTGATTGTACGCACACGCGGGGTGGGGTGGGGGGGATGGGGTGGGATGTTAACGTTCATGTGAACTTGCAGATGATGATGATACTAATGCTGATGATGATGATGATGATGTGATGATGATGATGATGATGATGATGATGATGATGATGATGATGATGACGACCCTAATGAAACTTGTCAATTCCGCGACGAAATTTCGTCACCGAATTGACAAGTTTTACCAAACTAATTCGGGTTTGCGCAGTTCTAGGACCTGGGACGAGGCTACATATACATGTACATATACATATACATGTACATATACATATACATGTACATATACATATACATACACATATACATATACATACACATATACATATACATATACATGTACATATACATATACATGTACATATACATATACATATACATGTACATATACATATACATATACATGTACATATACATATACATGTACATATACATATACATGTACATATGCATATACATATTCATGTACATATACAATTACATGTACATATACATATGCATATACATACACACGTAATCACACGCATATATCTATCATTTAAGGTCCATACATCCAAATGCAAGGTCGCAAGATTTCCTGACACGTTTTGCTTCAACATGCTTCAACCATTTCCAGGGAGAGAGATCAACCACTTGATTCGGGTTCCACCCACTGTTCTGTTGGAGAGTCGAGCAGCCGGTTTGGCATACTCACATCCAGCTATAACCCTTTGGTAATCAAACATTAAAAAAATGGAAAATTCCCATGAATATCGTAGCTGCGATTTAATAGCATCTAGTGGTACTACTAGTTGTTACTAGTGCTGATTAGCAACTAATAAGGTCAAACTAATTAAGCACTAGCAAACTCAAATAAATAAAAATAAGGGTTGGTTAAAAGTCGAATGCTCTTGCCAAATGAATAAATAAGAGAAACTGGTTCCGTTCAATAAGGATGTTGAGTCAAAAAACTCAAGCCGTTGAATAAGCCGTTGACTAAGGTGACCCTCAAGCCCTCCTACTCTGGAGGAGCAGGAGGTTCAATCACCCATGATTATTGATGGATGTCATTGGATGATTAAACCTTTACAATAATTAGTTGAATACCAGTAGTACCGCACAAGGCGGTGGCGGAAGTTTCAGAATAGGAAACCTATAGGAGACGTTGGTTGTTGTGAATCACGGATGGCAGAGAGAATCCACTGATTGACCGAAAGGTGGTTGGAGTTGTGTTTGCTGGAATGGTTGCAATGGTTGCAGTGGTCACCTCACCCACAACTGCTGGATGTAGTGTGATGTACTGCAACTGTAGTTGTAGTTGTAGGGTGGTGGAGTTGTAGTTGTGGTGTAATGTAATTAGTGTAGTGTAGTTGCAGTCATATAGTTGTAGCTGTAGTTGTTTTGTAGTTGTAGTTGTAGTTGTTGTTGTAGTTGTAGTTGTTGTTGTAGTTGTAGCTGTAGTTGTTGTGTGGTTGTAGTAGTAGTAGTTGTTGTTGTTGTTGTTGTTGTCGTTGTAGTTGTAGTTGTAGTTGTCGTTGTCGTTGTCGTTGTAGTAGTAGTAGTTGTTGTTGTTGTTGTTGTAGCTGTAGTTGTTGTAGTTGTAGTTCTAGTTGTTGTTGTGTAGTTGTAGTTGTAGTTGTAGTTGTAGTTGTGGTTTATTTTGCCCTCTAATTTTCCAACAATTTTCCCATCGTTTAGTTCGGGCATTTCCAAGGCAGCCAGCCTGGTTCAATGGATTGGTTTTCACGGGTTTTTCCTCTCATGTTTCCCTCAAGCCAATCCAATGATCTTGAACTATTTTACGTTTTACGTTCAAATATAGAGATATAGGTTATGATATATATATATATATACACGCATGTTTCCATATACCCCCATTAACATGTGTATATATATATATATATGGCAGTGTATGTAAATCCTACCAGAAAGGATTAGTTGTACATGTATTCCATATCCATATTTATAATCATCCATATGATATACTGCATACATACATATATATACAGCATTATATAGCCATACTCTATCCTAATATCGTTTGGAGAACCATCGATCACCAGGTCACATCGAAAATCTGAAGCCGCCCGGAACAAAGGAGCCAGGTCGACTCAGCGACCTGCGTTGAAAACGCTTGTTGATCCATGTAGAAATCCCACGATTCAAAAAGGGTTTCAATGGGTTGAAATTCCATCCGCTTGGTGGTTTATAGGATTTCGCTTAACCATCAAGAGTATCATGATTCATATATCATGATATCATGATTCATCTATCTCTAAAGCCCATAGAAATCGTTGATTTACCCATTCAGTTCATGGTGATGTTCCAGTTCGCACACTGGCCCGTCGGCCATCGCTTCAACTGGATCATATAGCTATCTCAAGATATTTACCCTCTGGTAAACATACAAAAAACATCAAAAAACTATGGAAAATCAACATGTTTAATAATTTTAATAACATTAATCTGTAAATCAACTATTTCTATGGCCATTTTCAATAGCTACAAGTGAAATTACCGGAGGCTACAATGACTGATTGAATGGTTCCAAAAACCAATGATCAAGAATTGGGCAGTAACCAAACCATAACCAGAAGACATTGGCTTCATACTACGATGTACCTTGATGGTTGGGTTTGGGAACATCTGCTAGGCAAAAGCAGGGTGTGTGCCCTTCAAATCCCTTAGAACATAGGGATGAAGCCTGTAAATTGTCCCATCACCCAATTCAAACAAAATAGTCATTTTCCGCTCAAATATGAGGGGTTCCATGGGTTCCTCTAAATTTTCCCATTCATTCCAAGGGTTTCTTATCTTCCCATGTTTTAGAGGAAAAAATTGGTTGTCCCATAGGTTTTCCATAGGTTTTCCATAGGTTTACATTTCCATAGGTTGTCATAGCTTTTCATGCGTGTTCCATCGATTTTTTCACGTTTTTCCCATCTCCAACCCATCCGTTCTGGGCTGCCAAACCTCCCCCTTGCTACACAGCAGAACGCCGGGCATGTGATCCGCGATGGTGGAGGCGGCACCTGGGATCGTTTGTGTTTTTTGTTTTGTGTGTTTTTAAATGTATGCATATGTATATACATATATAGACGAATGTATGTATAATATCTAATGACGTGTGTAAATGTATATGTATATATATATATGTGTGTGTGTGTGTGTGTAGACGTATGTATGTATATATAATATTTGATAATAGTTCATAGTAGTGTTATTTGTGTATATATATATATGTATGTATGTGTGTGTGAACATAGATATTATGTAATCACAGTCCACCGATATCCAATTCTATCTATCTATCTATCTATCTATCTATCGATCTATCTATCTATCTATCTATCTATCTATCTATGTGTCTATGTGTGTATGTGTGTATGTGTGTATGTGTGTGTGTGTGTATGTGTGTGTGTATGTGTGTGTGTGTGTATGTGTGTGTGTATGTGTATGTATGTATGTATGTATGTATGTATGTATGTATGTATGTATGTATGTATGTATGTATGTATGTATGTATGTATGTATGTATGTATGTATGTATGTATGTATGTATGTGTATGTATGTATGTATGTATGTATGTATGTATGTATGTATGCATGTATGCATGTATGAATGTATGCATGTATGCATGTATGCATGTATGCATGTATGCATGTATGCATGTATGCATGTATGCATGTATGCATGTATGCATGTATGCATGGATGCATGGATGCATGGATGCATGGATGCATGGATGCATGGATGCATGGATGCATGGATGCATGGATGCATGGATGCATGGATGCATGGATGCATGGATGCATAAATGCATGGATGTATGCATGTATGCATGTATGCATGTATGCATGTATGCATGTATGCATGTATGCATGTATGCATGTATGCATGTATGCATGTATGCATGTATGTATGTACGTCTGTACGTCTGTACGTCTGTACGTCTGTACGTCTGTACGTATGTACGTATGTACGTATGTACGTATGTACGTATATCATCTGTGTGTGTGTCCAATCAAAACAACCAAAAACCAGCTGAAACAAACCTATTGGCACATGTTGGCACAGGAGAAGAGTCACTGTTCACCCATGTTCAATGCAAAACATGCTAGGTCACCGCTTCAGCTAGGTTCCCCCTTTAGCTATGATCCTTTGGCATCAGCCAAGGCGCAAATCTCCTGGATTCAGGGCATGTTTGGCATGCAATGATACCTTCTGGTAAACATACAAAAAGCATCAAAAAGCTATGGAAAATGGACCATTTTTACTAGGTAAATTCAACTATAATAGCTGGTGTTACTGCGAAAGGATTATGGATTTCCAGCACATAATCCTTGCGTGTTTTGCAGAGTCTGTCCAAAAGTTTGTTCATGTTTTTTCCATCAAAGGCAAGAAAGCTGCATCATATCATCGCCGGTGCTCAGTCATCCCCAACCAAATGGATCAAAATGTAAGATTTCAGAGATGGACTGAGATGGATGGCCCATGCCATGATGGTCCAAATTCTGTCCTGGATGGCACCCTTTCCAAGATCACTCACCACCTGCAACTTCTGCAAGTGATGCCACACCAACCTGAATTGCCGTGCTGGAGCTTTAGCAGTCCTTTTCTTTCCCAAATATGTCACAGAACGGTATTGTTTGCATTGAAAAATCCACCCAAATCAATTCCATCTTGAAAACTAGATGATTTTCCAGCAACCTCAGATTCTTCACATGCTTTTTGCCAAAAAAAATCCTCAAAAGTCAACACCTGGTGTCCCATAAAATGACTTACTGACCAAGCAGCATGTTTTGCACATCGTGTTTCAGCACCTGGCCATGGATGACCCAGCCGTGATCAATAACCGTCGTTTTTAAAAAAATATGCAGTATGTGGTGCAATATCTATACAAATGCCAATATCACATGTATATATCTATATCATAAAAATTATATATATATATATATTTATTTATACTGATTTATTTATTTAACCGGGATGAACTGGGTATATTCCACATCAATTTGGCTTTTTTCAAATAGTTCGGCTATCCACTTACGCGACGTCGGCGTAGCCGCAACGCTACGCACCTCGGGCAGCTTTTCCATGAGATTCGTCTCCTTTGCCATGATCCGCCGTCCTAGGCCAGCTCCTACCCTCTGGTTATTTAACACTTTGCTATGGACAATGTCAATGGATTGGTTTAAGGGAAAATTTACAGGGAAACCCCATATTTAATGGGAAAATCTATGGTTTCCTGTAGATTTTCCTTAAACCAATCCATTGACAATGGCCAAACTAATGGATGATTCATGATGATTCATGATGATTTAGCAAAAAAAAAAGTGATTTTATGTGATTTTCCATGGCTACGTTAGTCATAACCAGAGGGTAATATGAGCACAATATTGTATTCTCACCAGGCATGCGAGTAGACTCGGCACCTACGGGGATGTGGTACACGACCATCGATAAACAATATGAGCACAATCGACTGGCATCCAAAAGCCAAACAGACGTTCATCCGACTAAGCTATGCTAACATATTGCTAACCTTTGGCTATCCCTGGGTGGCTCATGGTGGCTCCACGAACTTTCGGACGCACCGAGCTTCTGTCAAAGAGATGTGCCAAGAACTGTTTCACCCGCGCCTCCAGCGGCTTTTGAGCCTTGGCGGAGCTTGAAGATCAGCAGGAGCACAGGAATGGCACAGATCCCAGAAGGAAACTCATCGGAAACCCAACATCTAACCATTCCCAAGCGTTTTGAATGGATTTCCATGTGAGTTTAAGCAGGCTACGAATACAAATCGAAATATGGAACTGGGATGGAAATGGGCTATAGTAGCTATAGTTTCGTTGCTGGCTGGTACAAACTGACCTTCCCATTCTGGACATGATGATAATCCCAAATCAACCTGTCAGTTTGATTTTCACTCAACTATCTATATATCATACCTTCTGCTTTAAGATGGCTAGCCGGAAAATCCCCACTTGCTATGATACAGATGGTTGCAATAGATGTTGCAATTGTGAGGTGAAGTTACCCCCAGCGCAGGAACTAACCGTTTAACATCGTTTAACCCATCAATCACCATACACTTGGGTAGCCCTACTTGTAGCCCATGGGGCTACCGGTAGTTACCGTCAACCCCCCAGGTGATCATTTCGTGCCCCAGGTGCTCCGAAGCGATTGAGGTACATGCGCACGAAGAAGTATTCGTCGTTGAAGGTTCTGCCACGCTCGAAGATCTTGAAATAGGCCTGCTACAGTGTGGATATGCTTCGTGGAACGCTGCCTTGTTTTTACTTAAGGAAATCTTGAAATGGTGATTGTTATAGGGATTTAGTGGAAACATAGAGTCATAGATCACCAGCATTTAGGATGATTTATAAAATGATTAAGGGGGGTGTGGTTGGGGTCATTGATGGGGAAACCGGTGGCTGCAAGCTCCATGAATACATCGTAACCGCTACAATTATGGAAATTATGGCCATGTACCAACGTAACAAGTGGAACTGACATCAGGAGTAGGGATATCTATCGTATAAAAATACAGGAAACACAGGACAAATCCGGAAAAACGATATGCAATTCACTTGAGAGGCACTTGCACCAAGGGATGGTTGGTGAATGGACCGTGACAAATCGGATGTTCGGAAAAAAAGACATGGATTCTCGGATCAAATACTTATTGGAGGTACATCTCTATATATATAATATAATATAATATATATATAATATACATATATATATATATTATACATATATATATTATATTATATACATATATATATATATATTATATACATATATATATATTATATATACATATATATATATGTGTATATATATATATTATATACATATATATATATGTGTATATATATAGGGAGATACATATGAGATCTCCATGAAAAAACCCCAAGCTTCCCCAAGTCCCAAAAAACCTTGGGAGCTTCGCTCCGCCGCCTGGGTCAAGGAGGCCACGGAAACAGCGAAGGCACTCAGAGCGAAGAACATGAAGAGCAGGACGAAAATACGCTCGGGGAAGTTCACCTGGGTAGGCTGGAGCTGAAATTCATGATATCAGAATAATAACATATGATATCTCTATAAAAATACCTATGTGGGTATATATAATAATAATTATTATTAATAATAATCATATGTTATATTATCTATTTCTACGGGCATATGCGTATATATATAATTATGTATATTATAATAAAGTAATAATAACAACAATAATAATAATTTTTATATAATGATATCTAATATATATCAGTCTGATATCTGATCAATATAGCCTGTCAATATTGTATATTGATCTAATATCATTATTGCCGTTATTGACATAAATATCATTAACATGGTTTAATACCATTGATATGATCATATGTGTTCATGATGCTCAGTTATATTTATAATTTAGTTGATATTTGATTGATACCTGCTTGATATTAATATGTGCATATATACATATATACATATACATATACATATTGACCTCACCATACCTCACCAAATTGGACATTTGATGCTTTGAAGCCAACCAACTGTGATGACGGCTGTAAAACCAAGCAAAACAAGAAATAGATTGGTATTTGATGGTATTTGACTTGATTAAGAACCAAACAGATCCAAACAGTTGATTTGGTTGAAGCAAGAGATGATGGCATGGCAGCACTTGGCTGGTCAGTCTCGATCACCAGCTTAGGTAAATTGTGTAATAATGGGAAATTCAGGTAGCCTCATGTATGGTAGGTCCGTAGGTAGCTCCAATCAATCGGTACCTGAGTCTGTTTGCTGCGCTTTGCGGCGAGGAGCTGGAGTAACTTCTGCTGGCATGGTTCGCATGACCCCCAGCGTCCAATAGAAGCAAAAGATGTACCTGGTGCCAGCCTGGTGCTATGTGTCAACTGTGTCAACTGTGTCAACTCAATGGATACAAAATAAGAGGCACAAACCTGGCCAAGAATGCACCATATGCATCCATATGCACCATATGCACCATGCACATCCACCACGTCAACCAAAAAAAAGGGAAGGGGATGTCCTCGAACTATCAGTCTTGCACACCCTATAGTTTCAAGCTGGTTGGGCATCTTTAGAACAATATGCAACGTACAACTGTGGCAAACAATGAGAATGCATGAGAATGCAGCATCAAACATCATCAACCAAGATTTCTTCGGGTCTGGGGCACTGCTCTTCCATAGGTTTCTGCTCAAAGGTCCATTCTCCTCCCGCTGGTCCGCTTGCTGTGGGATGTTTTTGTATTGGTGGGTTTTCCTGCTTGGGTTTACCACCGCAATCCGTTTCAACCAAAAATCTTCAATCTAACAAGAACATCAAAAGAAACACCATTTTGGACCCATCGTTTCATCACAATCATGTCTCCAAATGCCTCAAAGCCATTCACAAAACATCACAAAACCACAAATCAAAATAATTACAGTATCTCAAAATATCTTAAAAACGCCTGCTGTAAACGACCGTACCTCCATCCTCAAACCCCAGCCCTTCCCATTTCTCGCTCCTTGATCCGCCCCATCCCGGCGGCTCAACGTGGTCCAGTGTGGCAGCGCAGCAAAGTCCGCTGCGCTGTCCGGGGGCAACAGGTCAGTCATGAGGCTCTCTGGCCTTCCGATGACCTGGGCACACAACAGTGCCTGCGGGCTGGGGGTCTGAGCCTTTTGGAGCGCTGCCAATTGGCAAATTGGAGGTTCACTTTTGGGGCGTAGAATGGCGTACCCTCTGGTAATTTAACAGTTTGCTATTGAAAATGGCCATTTGTAGTGGATTTTCCCATTAAAAATGGTGATTTTCCACTGCTATGTTAGTTTACCAGAGGGTAGTCATCGTTTTATAAATCTCCTAGAATTTGCAGATGCCTTGCGACTTGGGACCTTCCCCGGTTTGCCAAGTGGCCCAGAAGAGACAGGCGCTCCAATGGCACATGGCCACCACAAACAGAAGCACTTTCATGAGCCTCAGATCAGGCGGTGAGAATGCATGGAGCGGGGCAGTTCAGGGGATACACTGGTACACCCCAAACATGTCGTTTTGGTCGGAAAACTGATGATAGCCTGTTGGAATTGGAGGTAAACGACATTTGCCCCCGCAGTCATTAAAGTTGAAGACGAAACATGACAAGACTCCAATTCAGTATGGCTTATACATTGTTTATACCACTCATTTCCAATAAAACCGGGATTGATCATTTGGGTTTACTGCATTGTCCACAAAAGCCGTTCCAAAGAACTCTCGCGGGGCCGATCCTAGCTGAACCCCTGCACCAACACTTCCGAAAGCCTGGGTCTACATAACCAAATAACCTTACTTCAAGTGATCTCCAACCTGATTCTGGCATTCTCTGACATAGCTTCTGGCATATTATCTGATTCTGGCATTCTCTTTGACATTCTCTCCGGAACATACTCTGACATTCTATCTGGTATGCTTTCTGGCATATACTCTGACATTCTATCTGACATTCTTGCCGGCATTCTATCCGGCATCTGTTCTGACATACTTTCAGGCATCTATTCCGGCATTCTATCTGGCATCTGTTCAGGCATTCATTCTGGCATTCCAGCTGGCATCTATTCTGACATTCTATCTGGCAGTCTTTTTGGCATTCTATGTAACATACACAGTAGTCTGACATTCTGTCCGGCATTCCGTCTGGCATGTGTTCCGGTCCAGGCGTGCCCAGCTGCCTCCAGAGCTTGCGATATGGCTCAGAACCATTGAAACCCACAGTCATGACGAGCTGCAAGAGGAGCACACCAGGAGCAAAGGAGAAGAAGTAGGAGAAGAGAAAGAGGAGTTGCACCGTTGCTAAAATCTAGAGACCTTCACCTTGCAGGTGGGGAAAAAATGTTCATGGGCCCTTCTCCCCGTTCTAAATGGATTCTTGCCCCTGATGTTTTTTCCCAAATCTGGGCACACTTGGTTCCCCCCAGCTAGCAGTTTGCCACTCACGGGAATTTGTTAAAGATCTCGATAGCCATGAGGGTTGCAGACCCTGCCATCATCCTCAGCATCTCCATAGCCAAGGGACATGATGCTCTGAATGATGGCAATGGAACCAATTCTGACTTCCACCCTCTCCCAAACTGCTCTTAACTTGGACATCCGCAGCATCCTGAACGTGGTGCCAGGATGAAATCGACGGAAAATCATGGTCCAACAGTCCAACACAAGTTTTATTTTCCATATTGCCATATTGCATTTCCAGGAAGGGTTTGCAATGGTCTAAAGTTGAAGCTTAAAATTGGGTGCTGGAGATACAGATCCTGAAAACGAAACCTCCTCACCCCTCAAAACATGGCTGATCTGAATTTCATGCAATGTCTTCAGACTTCATCCATGAGGTCTACGAGTAGCTTGGCCTGTTGAAAGCTTTTGCAGTGGCCAATCGGCCAATCCCAGCAGCGAAACTACTACCCTGGTTGGTGGTTTTAATTAACATGTTTTAACCCATCCCAAAAGTGATTCTGCTCGTCACTCAACCAACCATCCCAATGTAGATCAATGTGGTTGAAAACCGCCAAAATAGTTGAAAAACCCAAACAGTATTCTGCAGCAAAAAAGACAAACCTGCGGGCCTCATCAGCCGCATGATGCGCAAAAACTTCAACATCTTCAAGAGCCTTCGGCCAGCGTCCGTTCGGGTGGGATTAATTTAGCTTAGTGGGATAGCAACCTGGAAGATAAATGGAAAGGCGACTTCCAATTACGTTTGATGTGAAAAATTAGCCAGTTTCCTGAAGATTTTCTCGCAAACCAATCCATTGACCATCATATTTATTGGTGATTCAATTCCAATTTTGAGAGGTTAAATCCTTTTGAATTCCAGTGTGTGTGCGCCAGGTGGGTTCGCTTGAATTCCGACTATTGCAGGTAAATGTCCCATTTGCAGGTAAATCAACCCCATCATTATCCCAGTGTATCGCTGTTGGATACATATACATATATATATATATGTGTGTGTGTGCATAAAATTATGTTTATATGCATATATATATAATATTGGTGTTGCCATTCTTGATTGACGATGTTTGCCCGCTGTAAGCCCAATAATAACCCATCCGAATGTGACCATAAACGATATTGACATGGGTGGAATTCATTCCAAACATCTCCCCCCCAAAAAAAAAACATGCACAGTTATGTTCAATTATTACGTTGCCGTATATTATTAAGAACATAGCTATCAAGGAGCCGTCTGATAGAGGCTTGGCTGTAGCATATGGCTCTAGTTCTCCATTTGTGAGTAAGTACCATACTAAATAGTATAGAGATGGTACATAGTACCATACTCTCATATATAGTATATAGCATATTATCACTACAGTGGATGGTTGCGAAACCCTGCACCAGTTAATAAATGGTTTATCCATCCATGTTTATCCCATTATTTATAGGGTTTCAACCATCCAACCATACCTACGGTGATTTTCGGATGGTGCCCGCCTCACAGCTCCCGAGGAGTTGCCGCTCCCAAAGGCCGTGGCGAGGCGTCCGTAGGGAATGGTGCCTGAGGTCAGGGAGTGCCATTGATGTATCAGATGAAATGACTATTGGGGAAGTACCTCCCAATAGAAATAAACTATGGTTTCTTGATCCGGGGTTGACATTCTTCATGAATTATGCATGTGCGTGTGTGTGTGTGTGTGGTGTAATGCACATATACATGTATATATATACATATTTATATATATATATAATTATATAATATTATATATGTAATTATGTATCTGTATATGATATATTTATGTATCTAGATGTTTTGAGGTAGGCCGGTACAATATGAGCGCATACATATGTAGAGGCTAGGAATATGCATATGCAACACAAGAGACCAATGTTATGGTGATCCCGGGGGCCAAATCCAAAGGTTCCCACTGCCAAGGTGCTAAAGAAGTCAATAGAGAACCAGCCCGTGAGGTACATACATGCCTTGGCGCCGCTTCGAAAATCTCCAGATTGTTTGGAATATGCCAAACCACCTGCCTAAACCACCAGTGATGATGAGTCCAAAATGACCAGCCGATCTGTTGGCCCCTTGGTTTTCTGACAATGTTCAAATAGCTTCCATCTGAGCGGGTAGGTCAGCCGGATTCAGCCGGTACACCCAGGATTGTCCTAAAATGCTGGATGCAACCCCAAAAATGTGTGGATTTAACGTAGATGTGGAGTTTACCCATCATTTGTAGATCATTTTTGCAGGGAACCCAGAGGTTTTCATAGGTTTTCCACATCTATGTTAGTTTACCCTAGGGATTCCTAGGGGAACTGATTATGATTTAATTTAACCATGAAAAACACAGCTTTCACCAGCGAGACACAATCCTCGGGCGGCTTTGAACCCATGTTCCCGGTTCCGAGGGGTTTTCCACAGCCGTATTGAAGGAGAAGAACCTGACGACAGAAGCACCAAGAGAAAATGTTTCAAATGGATTCAAACATGAAAGACGGACCAGCAAATTGCGCAAGCGCACCTTGAAAAAAGAAACAAACAAGTTGGAGGGTCAACAGTTCACTGATTTTCGCAGGAGCTGGGGGTCTCCCTCCGGTCAAAATGCTGCTGCGCGACACGTCGGTGAAAAAGACCGAGGTGGTAAACCAAAACCACATTTCATCGAAGGTGTCATCGGGCATCCCGTGCTTGAAAGACAACTGGAAAGGCAGGATGATACTGTCCAGGATGACCAAAAACATCACGAAAAAGTCCCAGGTCATCTTGCCCGTCCAGTTGGGATTCAAAATGCCTTGCAGAAAGCTTCGGTTTTGCAAGTAGCAGTTTATGTTTTAAAAATGGAGGGTACCAATTGTAATACATTAGTTATTCAGAAAACTCTTGAGGGTAGCCTCCCCAAAATAATAATCTAGTTTACCGTTTACCTCACAAATTTCCTCTGGCCAACCACCGAACAGTGATGCTTGACCATTTTTAGCTACCAGTTTTTTCTAAGAATAACCAAAAACTGCATCTATTTATATCAATTTATAGATACCTGAGCATACCTCAACATACCTTTGAGAACATGACTTCCATGCTAATGGTTTGGAGTTCAAGTGCGTATTCAGCATATTAGACATATACCCTCCGGTGTCATCAAACGTGGCTAACTGGGAAACCCCCATCGAAAATAGAGGTTTTAACGGGATAATAATCAATCAATTCTAAATGAGGTAGATGTTCCATTGCTACATTTGAATATATTTGGTATGGATCATAGGCACTTAAGTTTGAAGTGGTTATGACGCATCATGTTCTTGGCAAGCCAACAATGCCAGCAACCAATGAATCCACCTGCCGCACCTCCTGGAACGTCCCCTGATTTGTCCAGGCCCCAAGTCATATCCAAGTAATACCCCAACAGAGGAGTTGCAAACCACCAATCTGACCGAAACAAGCGGAAACAATGAATGAATATGAATGGTTCAAACGGAAAGCATCGATGGCTAGCCCAGAAAAAAAAACGGACCCAGCCAACCGGGGTCCAACCATCCCAGCTGCAGTTGTCAAATTCCGGGGCATCTTCCACGTCATCACCAAAAAACTCTGGCATTTTGCTGGCCGACGCGCCAGCCATGATACTCCTTCCGCCTGGCAGGAAATTGGGAGTTGCCCCCAAAGAAGGGATAGACTACCGCTAAAATAATAAAAAGTTGGCGCCGCTCCATTCATAAAGGATGATCCATCACTTGCGGCAGTAAGATAAAAATCACTTGCGGCAGTAAGATTCAATCACTTGCGGCAGTTAGACTCTTCAAAACCAATCACTTGCGGCAGTAAGAATATTGAAAACCAATCACTTAGTGCAGGCAAACAATACATTAGTGGAGCCCAAATGAGGGATACGCAACCGCTACTCACCTTCTTGAGACTTACCATCCCACTTCAACCTTGGGGGGTGGGGTGGGGCTAGGGAAGAAAAAGGTAACATCTACCAGCCACAACCATTGCTTACCTTCCTTATGGGGAACCGCTGCTCCACTTCCTGAGACTAACCATCCCACTTCAACCTTGGGGGGTGGGGTGGGGTTAGGGAAGAAAAGGGTAGGATCTACCAGCCACAACCGTTGCTTACATCCATTATAAGGAAACACAACCGCTACCCCACTTCCTGCGACTTACCAACCCACTTCAACCTTGGGGGGTGGGGTGGGGCTAGGGAAGAAAAGGGTAGGATCTACCAGCCACAACCATTATAAGGAAACACAACCGCTACTCCACTTCCTGAGACTTACCAGCCCACTTCAACCTTGGGGGGTGGGGTGGGGCCAGGGAAGAAAAGGGTAGGATGTACCAGCCACAACCGTTGCTTACATCCATTATAAGGAAACACAACCGCTACCCAAATTCCTGCGACTTACCATCCCACTTCAACCTTGGGGGGTGGGGTGGGGCTAGGGAAGAAAAGGGTAAGATCTACCAGCCACAACCGTTGCTTACATTCATTATAGGGAACCGCTTTTCCACTTCCTGAGACTAACATAGACTAACCATCCCACTTCAACCTTGGGGTGTGGGGTGGGGCTAGGGAAGAAAAGGGTAGGATCTACCAGCCACAACCGTTGCTTACCTTCATTATAGGGAAACACAACCGCTACTCCACTTCCTGAAGCTTACCAACCCACTTCAACCTTGGGGGGTGGGGTGGGGCTAGGGAAGAAAAGGGTAGGATCTACCAGCCACAACCGTTGCTTACATCCATTATAAGGAAACACAACCGCTACCCCACTTCCTGCGACTTACCAACCCACTTCAACCTTGGGGGGTGGGGTGGGGCTAGGGAAGAAAAGGGTAAGATCTACCAGCCACAACCGTTGCTTACATTCATTATAGGGAACCGCTTTTCCACTTCCTGAGACTAACCATCCCACTTCAACCTTGGGGGGTGGGGTGGGGCCAGGGAAGAAAAGGGCAGGATCTACCAGCCACAACCGTTGCTTACCTTCATTATAGGGAAACACAACCGCTACTCCACTTCCTGAGGCTTACCAACCCACTTCAACCTTGGGGGGTGGGGTGGGGCTAGGGAAGAAAAGGGTAGGATCTACCAGCCACAACCGTTGCTTACCTTTATTATAGGGAATCGTTACTTCACTTCCTGAGACTTACCATCCCACTTCAACCTTGGGGGTGGGGTGGGGTTAGGGAAGAAAAGGGTAGGATCTACCAGCCACAACCGTTGCTTACCTTCATTATAGGGAAACACAACCGCTACTCCACTTCCTGCGACTTACCAACCCACTTCAACCTTGGGGGGTGGGGTGGGGCTAGGGAAGAAAAGGGTAGGATCTACCAGCCACAACCGTTGCTTACCTTCATTGTAGGGAAACACAACCGCTACTCCACTTCCTGAGACTTACCATCCCACTTCAACCTTGGGGGGTGGGGTGGGGCTAGGGAAGAAAAGGGCAGGATCTACCAGCCACAACCGTTGCTTACCTTCATGATAGGGAAACACAACCGCTGCTCCACTTCCTGAGACTAACCATCCCACTTCAACCTTGGGGGGTGGGGTGGGGTTAGGGAAGAAAAGGGTAGGATCTACCAGCCACAACCGGTGCTTACATTCATGATAGGGAAACACAACCGCTACTCCACGGGATGGGGTGGGGCTAGGGAAGAAAACGGTAGGATCTAAAACGATGCTAATCAAGCCACTTAATAGCTGGACCCACGTCCCCAGGATTTGAAAATACCAACGATGAATCCCAAAGAGCCCAATAATATCCGATTCGTATTACTCACATTGGGGATGTTAGGGCCACCTGGTTATGGGATCATAAATTTTCACAATGATTAGATATTAATCGTAACATAAACTGTGGTTCTTTTTAGGAACACTCACATGGGACCTTCCTTAATGTAAACTGTTTCATACTAACCATCAAAAATCGTGCTTGTCTGCCGTTATTCACTTTAGTAGGTTTGTTCTCAGGGTTCACAATTGTAGCAACATTTTCCAGAGCTGATCCTAGAGCCAAGAGGAGAAAGGTAGGCCTTTTCCAAAAGCAACTGCCAAGTTCAAATCCCAAGTCCCAGCCGCTTACTGCCACAAGCGATTGGTTTTGTATACCCTGGCATCAAAGACACTCACTTACCGCCACAAGCGATAGTTTTTTTACCGCCACAAGCGATTGAAAACGGAAAAGCGATCTTACCGCCACAAGCGATTAGGCCTTCAAATGCTGCACCTGACAAGCAATCACCTGCGGCAGTAAAAAGAAATCACTTGCAGCAGTAAAAAATGAACGTTTTTACTGCCACAAGCGATTGGCACATCTTACCGCCACAAGCGAGGTATCAGCCTTCATAAACTAGGGTTTACATGGGTTTACAAATCCTGGGTTAAAATTAGCAGGAAAAACCTCAAGAATCTGCGGCGCCATACCTGAACATCATCCAAGCTGAAAAGAAAACCCAGCATTTCCCACAGGTTGCTACAAGCTGCTACCATGATCCAGCGGTTCCCAAAACGCCCACACTGAAGGGTTCTTACGGTAGGCGTAAAGCATTGTAAAACCCGGGTTCGTTCAGGGATGTTCAGGGTGCTTGCTGTGGCCTCCGGGTTTTGTCTGTCTGCGCCAGCTCGCACTCAGGACTTGTGAGATGTCCATCTGCATTTCGACTGCAAAGTTTTGAGCAAAGTGAGTGGTTGGTCTATTTCCATTTTCGTGGACAATGTGAGGCTTCCGGGCCCGGAGGATTTTGAGTTCTGGAATGCTGTTTCACGCGACAGGCATGGGACATCGGACGCTGTTTCATCCGCATGGCAGGCGCGGGCGGTACTTTCTGCACGTTGCTACAAGTAAAACGTTGGCGGGCGTGGGTCGGCATGTGAGCTGGTTTTGGGGGTCATTCTTCGTGGCAAGCGCGGTATTTGCTGAACTTGGGCGATGTTTTGAAAGGTTCGACAGCTTCGTTTTGTGAAACTGTGGTCACTGCTGTTTTTGGTACATGATGATGATTTCGCGTGGCAGGCGCAATACTTCTGATGCCTCATGTTCAAAATCCAAACAAAAAATGTTTTTCGGATGCTGTTCAATGTTAATTTTTCGTGGTGCGCGGCATTTGGTGAAATTCCATTTGTGCTCACGCAACCCTCTCGTCGCTCTGTGCGTCTCGGATCGCTCTCGTTGTGGCGCGGTGCTTATTTTGATATCGCTCGCACAACTCCTTCTCACCTTTTTGCGCCTAGGACGGCTCTCGCTGTGGCGCCGTGCTCGTCTTAGCCGATTTTTAGAAATCCTGGAAAAGAGAGATCTTGAGTAGTTCTCTGCCTGCTAGGACGACCTTGCGAGAATCTCACAAAGCGCTCTTAAAAATCCTTATATATTCCTTATGTGATGATTGGCCAAGGTCTTGTAAAGGTCCTTGTGAGAAGACCTTGTAAAGATCCAGGCGAAATCCTCTCTAAGAGGTTCTTGCCCTTGCATGAGCTTGTAAGGTCCTTGTGAGGCGATCTTGAGGCCCTTGCATGAAGATCTTGCAGATGCTGTGTGTTAGAGGTCTTGCATGAAGATCTGGCAGATGCCCTGTCTTAGAGGTGCTTGTATAAAAGCTCGTCTGGGATGCTCCAAATTCTTGTATGAAGGTCTCTCGCAAGATCCTTCTAGCAGGTCCTTTTATGATGATCTTGTGAGATTCTCCCGGGGGTCCTGGCATGCAGATCTTGGTCAAAGATGGTCAAAGTCTTTTAGAGATCTTTGAGCGAAGATCGTGAAAATCCTCTAAGAAGTCCTTGCATGATCTTGCACAGGTCCTTGTGAGAAGACCTTGCGGGATCCCAGTGAAAAGCTGTCAGAGGTCCTTGCATGAAGATCCGGAAGATGCTCTGTATTCGAGGTGCCTTTAAAGAAAGCTCTTCTGGGCGCTCTTAGGAGGTTCTTGTATGAAGAACTTGTAAGGTCCTCTAGGGAGTCTTTCTTTGACGATCTTGTGAAAATCTCCGAACTGTCCTGGTATGAGGTCCTGGTCAGTAGACATAGTGCCGCTTCCTGTGACAAAACAAGTTCCTGCTGCTGTAGTTCTGGCAATTTCTAACTTGACCTGTTTCTGTTCCGTAGCTACCGGCTGTTGTGTGTATTTCCTACATTGATTTCGTACCCCAGGCACTGTTTGGGGCCTCTTGCCGCCGGTGCAATTTTTGCGCTATGTTAGTGCCTTAAACTTTAACCCATAGCCTGCTGATATCCAATTGTATTGCAATGATCCACATCAAGCATCCCAACTATATCATGATATAATATCCTTAAGTACATGATGCTCTACAATATCCCACGTACACATTTCCCACAAATAGACACGCACACACACACACACACATATATATATATATATATTACTGTATACTATACATGTACGCATAGAGATACAAGAAAATGCACCCTATAACACCATCATGAACCATCAACCCACCCCTAGTCCCAAAAAAAAAACGCCAGACCTTCCGAAATTCGGGGCATGGCCATGAGATCGCTGGACAATTGCAGCATGTTGCTATTGCTGCCAGAGGAAGAGGCTCCGGAGAGCGCAACGATCTCCTCAAGATCCACATCATCTGCAATGCCTGGTTGTGGAGATGATGAATGATTCAACGCTTTGCTTGGGAAAATCGAAACCGGAAACCATGGTTTTTACCATCAAATTTGACGGGGGTTCCTGAATTTGTTCCCAACAATTCTATGAATGATGAAACAAATGACTCGTTATGATATGAAATGTTGTCCTAATATCGTCATATATCATGAAGAATGATGTGATGATATGATGTGTATGACGGAATGTTTGATATGTGATATGTGGGATATGAGAGATAATAAACAAAGCTTATCTTATATATGATGATATATGATGACTCATGGGATATATGCATGATGATGATGATGATGATGATGATAATGATGGTGGTGATGATGATGATGATGATCCCAAAGTGGCAAGCGTGGACGGGAATAGGATCCATTCAGTAACTAAGTAACTATGCGGGATATCAGTCATATGATATGACTTACAAGTGGGCGAAAATTGCTGGTAACAATGACTATTCCCATGACGATCATGATGCGGGCAGTGTCGGAGCGAAGGAACAAACAAAGGATGACGATGATAATGACATTATCATCCATATTATATATTCAGTAGTGATGATCACATGATCAGGATAATATATCATTGCCGGGTAGTGTAGCAGAGGACAATGATAATGATGGATGGTATGCGGTATGCTGATGATGCTGTTGACATTGTTGGAGGTGGCCACATGCAAGCTTTTGCTGCACCATTTCCCTTCCAATTCTCTAATCATCAAAAAACATTTAAAAAAAACAATAAAGCATAAAATCTGAGGACTCAGAGAATCAAATTGGATACATCATGAGACATCACACATTTTATGAAAAAATCAGGGCTCTGGGACCACCAAAAATCTCCACATTGAAAAACCGTCGCCTCGTTCACGGCTATCTGCCTCCAGCAACAGGATCTCCTGGCCTTCCGCCTCCAAATCCTCCTGGATCGCAGTGGACGACAAGAGACACTAAGGGTTGGCTATGTGGTAAATGATCCAATTTTGATAGTGGTAAATAGTGACTAATTAAAAGTGGTGATATTCTGGAATGGAATTTTTCAGGTTTTTTTTCTGGTAAATGATTCTGAAAATTGCCAAGTTCTACCGGTTGAAACCGGCGTCCTGCGACTGCGACGTCTCTCGTCTTGAAGCTTCGCTGTTCAAACAGGTGTGTCGGCACCATAAGCCCTGCCTAGACACCAGAAATTTTCCAACAGCAAAGCCAGGATCAACCTTGGATCAAGTATGTTTAAGTTGAAAATCATCTGTTCATATCTGTTACCCTCTGGTAATTTAACATAGCTATGGAAAATCACCATTTTTAATGGGAAAATCCACTATTTCTATGGTCATTTTCAATAGCTATTTTGACATAACCAGAGGGTAATGATCCTAAATGGTCTGGCTGTTGGCGGGAACATCCACCAGCCAGCCATGAAAACATCCATTTACCAACCAGTCAGACGTCGTGTGAACAATTCCCGACTCTTTATGGTTTCATTGAAGCCATATAAATAGTATATAAATAGTATATTTTATGGTTTTGAAAACATCTATTTACCATTGAAGCCATGAAAACATCCAGTGAGCTGTGTGACGTGCTTCACCCACCTAGTTGTGTAACCTAAGTAGTTCGTAAAAACTGCGACAGTAGTCGATGGATTCAACCGACAACTGAGATCTGTGGCTAGTGGTCAAGGTCAAAAAAAAAATAGGTGGCTTCGTCTGAAAATAAATGAAAATAAGGCATCCCCAACTGCAATGGAATTTGTATCATCATTTTCCCTATGAAAATGGCAATTGAAGTGGGCATCCCCTATTTTCAGCCCCAAATCTCTTGAGAATTCACCCTTGGTGTTTCAATTTCTTCATCTGAAACCAGGCTATCCTTTTTTTAGGTAGCCCTAAATTCACGGGTTAATCATCATTAGGGCTACTATATATGTATATATATAGGATAGCCATACATCAAATAGCCATCATTGATGGCATCATCCCCATCAAATAGCCATCATTTGGAATGTCTATAGGAAAACGCCCATGAAATCTGACGGACCGACATTGGATATTGTTGCTTACAATGTGTATATATATATACATATATATACATTAATATACCATTATCTGTCCATTAAATACCCGTAAAATTGCCATCAACTATGTGGTTAACTAGAAGAACCATATTTTGCTGGTGATATCCCATGATGTCCCCATTTGTTACTCTTTTCTGTTTACACCCTTAAATCACTTTAAAAAAACCTCACGAATCACCATCATTTAGTGTCCTATGATTTTCCCAAAAAACCTCCAATGTTATCAATGTTTATCATTTTTCATGGTGATTCTCCATAGGTTTCCTATGTGTTTTTCCCATGGTTTACAGAGGTTTTTTGAACCCAGCTCCATACCACCGGATGCCACCGGATGAACCACAAAGGGCGGCCTAGGATGCGGATCTGATGGTATTGTGTCGTTCAGGCCCTGGCAGCCGAAGGACAACTAAGATCCTGGGGATATAACCATTGTTTTTTTTTAATGTATGGTATAAAGCCATTATGATATAACCATTATTATAGCATATTAAAAAAATAATTGTTTTTGCTGCAAATATCTATTATCTATATCTACTAATCTTTTTTTTAATATCATAAATATATTGTATGCTTCGGTGTGAAAATGGAAGATAGTGATCGGATAGTGCCAGGATGTACCAGGCCTCAGCGTTGGTATCTCCAGCTGCGATGAGTCAAGGTGGCTCAGCCCACTTAGTAAGTGGCTTTTATCTTATAACCCTAGTTAGTGGACTAAGCCCACTTACCCTACTTATAACCTGGGTTTTCTAACCCTTACTAAGCGGGCTGAGCCACCAAGTAGCCAACAGAAAGTGTGAATAAAAAACAGAAAACAAACAAAACCAGAGATTCCAAGTGATGACATGAGCTGCAACAATTTGGGGTATAGCTGAGGCCAAGGATAATGGATGGAAGAATACACAAGCCAAAAAAGTGTGTTTTAAATGGCAGCCAGAAAGGACAAATTCTATAAATTTATGCTATACACATATATATATACACACATCTGACATGTGGATAATGATTGGTTATATCATGAAGTAGCACAATCCAAGAACAAAAAGTAAGCAGTTGTGTTTCATTACCAAAGCTGTTGTGTTTCACCGTTGAGTGCTGCGCCGTTTCTTGCTTTTCAAAGGCCGAAATGGCCGATCTAACCACATGACATCTAACCACCAAAATGGCCGAAATTCTGCCCTAACGTCTATAAATCTCAAGATTTAGCCTCTGGGCATTATTTAACGTAGCCATTGAAAATCACCATGTTTAATAGGCAAACCATCTATTTCTATGGGCCATCTATACCATGGCGAACTGTTGAATAACCAAATGGTATACCTCCCAGATTCCCATGGATTCCCAACGTTCCCATTGGCCTCGCTCTCAAACCTGACTCTGTTGACTTGGCTTTTGGGTCCGATCGACAGGGTCGACGCAAAGCTGCCGGGGCCATCCATGGCACAACCTGGACACGCCAAACAAAACTTGCCAAAACAACCAGATATAGATATAAAATGATATAAAGCCAAAACAAATGTAACGTGTATGTATGATATATAGTTATATGTATACAACATTCATGAACAATCTGAATATAAACAACTCAGGACATGTGTATACAAATGCCTGTGCGTGTACATCAACGTGACATGCTTGTGGATTATTTATATTTATTTACAATATAATATATATATATATATATATACATATTCATTTATTTATCTGTATCAATATAATTATATTTATGCAATAAACATCAATAAACCAGTGTGTACTCGTTTGTGTCGTGGAACTCTTGGGTTTGAAGGCTGCAATTTCCAGGGGGGAATGGCATTTCATCAGATTTTGAATGGAGCTGTTCCGCCCCCGGATTCCCGGTCTGTTTTCATTTATCTATATATTTAGATGCTTAAAAATTAATATGTTTATGATTTTTATACTCATATGTATATATATATATATTTATCTAATTAAACAGGTATATGTACGGATAGTGTGCTCAGGTTGCTGGCACCTACTGTAAAGGATCATATGCAGCGTGAGTAAATGCACTGAATTTGATACAGGCATAGGGTATGTCAGCCACCACATTGAGGCCCAAAGTTCACCCTCGCCCTATCAAAAAAATGGTCAAGTTCCAAAATTGCCATAATTTCCTCAAAGTTGTAACTGTCACCGATACATACTTACCATTGCATTTGAGACGACATTGGAAATGAAAATCCCTCGTGTTTAATCATGTTTAGGGTTTTGGGGATTTTCAATGATGTTCATTTTGCTCATATGCCACTTTCATGGTTGCTTGAGCTAGGGAGGGTTTTATACAAAGTGCCTGTTCATCGCAGAGACATACTCTCCGTGATAATAAGAAACAAAACATGCGTGTGGTCACCGGGGTCGTCATTTTCCATCTTAAATGGTCGCACATCCGCAGTATAAAATTCTTCCATCATGTTTTCCATCATATTAAAAAAATCAGACACCCTCCACATTTATGGACTGCCATCCGCCCTTTTTTGCAGAGCAACTCACAATGGTCTGCTCGATCCTGAGCGGACAAGAATGGCAAGGTGACGGAAAAAACGGGAAACAACTATGGAAATGATTGAAATTTATGGAAAAACTATGGAAAAACTATGGAAATTTCTTGGTTCAGCCCATCCCAGCTGAATTTTTTCATTGCGGAAATCAGAACTGCCAGGATTACACCTCAGTTTGGGGCTTGGAAAATGGGAATGTCAAGTTCCATCGTGCGAAAAAGGTTGGGCACTGATGTGATTCACCTATATAGCTTCTATCCATCCATCCATCTATCAATGTATTTATTTTATCTAACTATCCGTCTATCAATCTATTGTATCTAATTCCTACATTCATTTGATAGTTACTTCCATGGTAATTACCATAGTGAATCATAGTGAAATATCCATATCTATCTATCAGCCGTCTCTGAGTCGAGTCTCTCAAGGTGGAAGCGTGCCAGGTTGCTCTTCAGCATCTGAGTGGATCGACCTCATGGCTGGGACTACGACAACCGCGGTGAAGACCGTAGAGTTCTGCGGAAGATATGGATCTTGGTATAACATCTATGTAGCTGTATATATATATATATATTAATATCTCTAATATATCATATCTTTTATCGAGGATTATATAACTATTTAATTATTCACATCTATTATATTCTATTATCATCTATTTCTGTAATCTACTCTGAATCTGGATGAAAAAGTTGTCACACAGCGACTCCCCAAAACGTCGATCCACTTCCTGGCATCATCTAAGACCTGGCAATGCCATGTAAGCCCAACTTAACATTGTCACCATTAAAAAATCACCATTCTTTATGGATCTTTATGGCTGGTAACCATCATCCCCAGTCGGATTCCCATGGCTGCCATACCACGACTGGACCACCACTGGATTCCATTGGCCGAGCAGAGCCGAGCAGCCAATTTTCCCAGTCAACAGCTCATCAGTGGACCAGGTCTGTAGATGCTGATCCAAGATCTCGACCAATGCATCGATGCTTTGAGACACCCCACCTCCGGCGATCTGAGGCGATCTGAGGACAACCCATGATGATCCCATGGAAACCACAGAAATCCCATGGTAGGCAATATCAAAGGGGGTGGTAGTTATAGACTTTTGAATCATGAACATCTGATCATCTGATTGCTTAAAATTTTGCTGCCATGGACATGGTCACAAGAAGAGAACCGGCCGGCAGATGTTGAAAAAGTATGAAAAAGTGTGATAGCGCCTGCACTGCAACAACGCCAGCATATTAACCATCAAAAAGGATCAAACAACCGGGATGCCACCTGCAAAAGCCGAATGATAAGCCTCTGTGAAGCCGTAGCGGGTGAGTATGGTATAGCAATCAAGCAGCCAAGGGATCCTTGCAGCCTTTGAACTATTGAGTTCCCGCAGAAAATAACTCGCTTGGCTCAGAGATCATCATGATCATGGATCATTCTCATGATTCTTAATTATCTGGCTTCAGATTTGGAGCCTGAACAAATATGCGGACTGAGTCACTGGCACCTAGTTCGCCAAAAAATGAAGGTCCAAAGAATCCAAATCCGTCAGTTCCAAGATGAATAAACAACTCTCCGAAAACCCAAGTTCCAAACCCCTCGGAACAAAAAGAAACCTCTAGCGTACAAAAGTGGTAGTTTAAACCAAACATTTGTTCAAAGGGAAATCGTCTACCAATGGCGAATTTTGCCCGCCTATCAGGCTAGTTCACAAAAGGGCCGTAGCTCAACTGAACTTACGATGGATCTGTCCGATCCTGGGTATGCCCCGAATTTGTGGCAATCTAATGGGGAAAACGATGATTTTTTGCCTCAGGACTTCGGGGTCCAGAATGTTCCAACCCCCCTTCTCAACATGCAATTTTTTCATAGTGTCATAGTATATCATAGTTTCTCATCTCTTTTTTTGTTTACTTCGGGCATAAAAAACCCATGATATCCCCATCAACCCCCCATCAGATCCATCCTACCCTACACACCCCGGCACCACACCTACGAAGGTTAGGATTGGACTTCGCTTTGGCGTCGCCATGACCTAATAGAACAGACTGCTTGATAGTCCTTGCAGTGGGATATTCATAGGGTATGTATATATATATATTTATTTATTTATTTATTTATTTGTTTATTTATTTGTTTATTTATATGCATATCATAAATATAAATATGTGTGTGTGTGTGCGAAATCATTTCTGAATATAAGTGTGGAAATATGTATATTATGCATATATATATAGATAAATATTATATATATACACACATAGACAGAGACCATAGGACTATAGAATTCCATAGAATTCCCAGGGCCGCGTGGACAGTCTCGTTTCAAGTTCTCCGGACAGTACTTGGGCCCTACTTGGGGCTCCAAGCACGATTTCAAAGCTGTCAAGCTAATTACACAATATTTCACATACCCTCTGGTTATTTAACATAGCCATGGTATAGATGGCCCATTTATAGATGGTTTACCTATTGAAAATGGTGATTTTCCATGGCTACGTTAAATAACCAGATGGTAGATGTGAAAATGCTTGGGTGGGCAACCTGAGCCAATTCATTAATTGGATTCGGATGTTGATACAGCAGTGCTTCACAAGCCTGAAACTGGCTGTCTCCGTTTCTTGGCTTGCTTACTCCACCTCATTTGGCAGTTACCCAAGTCATGTGGCTTAAATACTATTTATGGAGTTTATGCAAGCCCAATACTAAACAAGTATGGGGGAATTTAGAACGCTGCTCAGTTGGAGTCCCAAGTCATGTGGCTTAATTCACCCGAAGATATGTCTCGCTTTGTCTGAAAATCGGACAGGCCCAATTCCAATGGATTTTTCGACCGCTTTCCCTGTTCAAACAAGGTGACCATAAATTGGGGCATATCCCATGTTCAAACAAACCCATGACACCATAATTGTGATATTCCATAGCATCCCTTTGATATTCACATTCGATCCCAATAAATCCCATTAATTACCCTCTGGTTTTTTAACATAGCCATGGAAAATGGCCATTTATAGTCGATTTACCCATTAAACATAGTGATTTTTCCATAGTTACCTTAGTTTACCAGAGGGTATATAAAGTAAATGTATGTAAAACTCATTCAGTCCCATTGAGTCCAAATATGTCCTGCTTCAAATCCCGGTTCTTTCGCTTACGCCTTACTTACGTCTCTTGGATGGCCAAGCAGCCCAGATGTGTTGCGCAGCTGCCGCGCAAAACGGCGCCGCACAACGGTGCTGTTGTTTTCAACCAACACGGCAACGACGTTGCGTCCGTTGGGATGGAATCCCATCTGGAAGTACAGGATGAGTACTATAATAACAATAGTGTATGATAACTATAACTATAACTAGTGTAACAATAGTGTATGATAACAATAGTGTAGAAGATATGGCAACCACTTCGTTCGCTAAGTTGGTGTAACATAACTATAATAACAATAGCTATGGACGCCCAGCAATAGTTCGATGATTTACCCATTATTATTATGGTGCGTTTTCCATAGCTATGTTCAATTTCCGGAGGGTCAAGAAAATAGCGGGTGAAGGTTGAAGCCCAATCCCCCAATACTAAACACCTCCATAGAAACCCCGTTTTGGGCACAGTGATGGTCGGAATTTAATATTAGGGGGATGGGATTATCCCGTTAGGGGAATGGGATTACTTAGGGAGTGAAGCAAGAGATGTGGATATCATTGATGTCCAATGGCACTAGCAACTCTGATTTAAAGATGCAAAATCCCAGTCAAAAATATTGTTGTACCCTCCGGGAAGGATCCGCCATTTATGAATTTGTTTCCCAGCTAGCCATCTGAGTGAACTTCACCTTTGCTGTATCGAACATTGGGGGCTTTATTTTTAATGTGGGCGGTCTGACAGCAGGAATATCGTCATGAAATTTCATCCCTCCAGATATGACCCTAGGAATATCTATATACCCTCTGGTTATTTAACATAGCCATGGAAAATGGTCCATTTATAGATGGTTTACCTAGTAAAAATGGTGATTTTCCATGGCTATGTTAAATAACCAAAGGGTAAAAAGGAGTGGCCACCAAATGTTGGAATCGAATCTCAGCCAGAACTGAGCCACGTATGTTTTTGTAGTAACCGCGAACGAACCTTCAGCATTTTTTTGTTTGGGGGTCCCCGAAATGAGTGTGCTGTTCTTTATTTAGTTCAATCCCTCCCAGAACTGGCTCAACGCGAAGTTACAGGGAATCTCCATAGTTGATAGGAAAAAACATGATTTTTAGCACATGTTCCCTTACATTTTCTTTAAAAAGTATCTCAATGAAACAAGAGCCTCACTTAGCAACACCAGCAAAGAAGCCGTGATCAAATTATAATCGATCGTATCCATCCATCTGTTAATTGATCAGATGGAAACCATGGAAAAGCTGCAAGTTGCCCCACTTCGTTGAACAGCCTGGTGATGTAAACACACACACATACCCTCTGGTAAACTAACATAACTATGGGAAATCACCATTTTTAATGGGAAAACTCACTATAAATGGCCATTTTCAATAGCTATGTTAGTTTACCAGAGGGTATTCCTTACCAAAATCATTACTATACTATCGGCGATATCAACCAGTGGAGCCCGGCTGCGTTCTCCTCCGGCTGCGTTCGCCATCCTTGTTGCCAGTTGGAATGCTGGCCCCTTTTAAGCCATAATTGCCCGCCTTGCACTTCAGGACATCGACCAGGACATTGGACATTGACGTCCTCCACGTCCTCTACGTCCTTGACGTCCTTGACGTCCCGTCCTCTATTTCCTTGACGCCTTGACGTCCTTGACGTCCGCTACGTCCTGAACGTCCTCTACGTCCTTGACGTCTCCTCCTCCACTCTCCGTCTTCCACGTCCCGCCGTCTACGTCCTCCACGTCCTCTACGTCCTCTACGTCCTTGACGTCCCGTCCTCTATGTCCTTGACGTCCGCTACGTCCTTGACGTCCTCTACGTCCTTGACGTCTCCTCCTCCATGCTCCGTCTTCGACATCCCGTCCTCTACGTCCTCCACGTCCTCTACGTCCTTCCCGTCCCGTCCTCTATGTCCTTGCCGTCCGCTACGTCCTTGACGTCCTCTACGTCCTTGACGTCTCCTCCTCCCATGCTCCGTCTTCGACATCCCGTCCTCTACGTCCTCCACGTCCTCTATGTCCTCTACGTCCTCCACGTCCTCTACGTCCTCTACGTCCTTCCCGTCCCGTCCTCTATGTCCTTGACGTCCGCTACGTCCTTGACGTCCTCTACGTCCTTGACTTCGCGTCCTCCACGTCCTCTACGTCCTCTAGGCCCACCACGTCCTCTACGGACTCTTTGTCCTCTGCGTCCTTCACGTCCCGTCCGTCCTGTGTGTACTCTAAGTCCTTGCTGTCTGCTCCTCTACGTTATGTCTGTCCCGTCCTGTCTCTTCTACGTCCTGTGGGTGCTTCGCGTCCTTGACGTCCCGTCCTCTACGTCCTCCATGTCCCCTGCGTTCTCTGTATATGTCATCCAGCTCCTCCACATCTTTGCGGCTACATCCTTTACTTCACATGACTCTGGCCATCCGTTCCGCCGCTCTGCTTTGCTTATCAAAGGGACAGCAGCGCCAATGCAGGGGTGCTGCTCGGCAATGCCCGTGCCGCAACACAAATGCAGGAGACTTATGGTAAGTAGTGGTCCTGCCATGGCATACATGACATCCTCTTCCTCCTTTACCATGATGTTCCCAGGACATTTATTCCCATTGACCTCAAGCCATACCACAATATCGTTACATGGGCCCCTGCCAACCTGTCACAATATCTACAAAATTTCGCATTTCCATTGAATCTACTCTTCAGATCGTTTTCCAGCAGAGAAACGTCTCGACCATTTTCTCGGCACAGCCTTTCAGATCTTGCCGAACCATGTCGGACAACATGGTCGTTGAGCAGGCGTGGGCCTTGGTGGAAAACCACTTTGACCTCCAAGAACTTTTCGGAGAGGTCGGAAGCCTCTTCTTGGAAGAGCAAGCTGCCAAGAAGTGTTTGCACACGATGGCGATTTCTATGTCTGTTTTAGCTGGCCTAGCCCCATTAGCCAATGGAGCGCAGGTGAGAATATGGTCAGAACCAACGCCATTGGTCCTAGCCACACTTCTCATCAACCCTCCGCAGAGCCGAAAAAGTCAAACCACCAGCTTGCTCCGGGAACTTGGCACGGTGATCGACCAGACTTGTCATGAGCGGGAGCGGGCACGCGTGCTTCAGCGTCATCCTGCAGCAGAAGAAGATATTCAGACCGAGACCCTTCCGTCGAATGTCTTAGAAGGCTTCACGCCAGAGGCGAGCGGGCATCTCACGCAGTCCTTAATTGATACAGATACATAACTATACATATATGAACCCGCACATTTCCAACTAATGTTACCGAAACAACAATAAACAATCCATAATTTCACCATAAATAGATGGTATAAACCATTCCCACATGGATGATTTATTTTCCTTTATCCCACATTACTCCCAAACCTCATGTGTTGTACACTTTCGGAAATACAGATCCTTCTCACACGCTACATGCATTCTTCCCACATAGCATTACATCATTGGTGCATGGTCTTGGGCACACATTCCTCGCGGACATCTTCCCTGGACAGCAGCATCTGCCTCCCTGACAGGCTTTTTTCGAAGCAGTCAGTGGTGATTACTCTGTGAAGAAAAAGAGTGGCCGAGTTTGGGGACCTGGTGGATACGGCCGCTTGGCAAACGTGGATGAGGTTTACCCCAGTTTCCTGGCATTCGGCCTACTGACTGGGAATGATGCCGACAAGTCCTCGCATGGAAAATCTCCTGCTGGTATCAATTCAGCCACAAGCCTTTTGAATCGGTTTTTCCAGACAGGAGGAAGCAGCAGATTGACACGCACGGCTGGAGCCTACGGAGGCACAAATGCACCAAATTCGTGGCAAAAGCTGCCAAAGAGTAAACCCACCCGTAGCCATCACCGGGATCCAGAGATTGCTGCGAACTGAGTAAAATGGCAACCAGCCATCTGCGCCCCACGCCATCAGAAGCCAGCTGCCACAAAACTGTCCTGGTCCTAACAAGACCCAGCTCAAGCTTCTGCCGACGCCATCTGCCTTCCATGGCCCAAGACCTTCACCCGACGTGACTTTCGGCTCACTACTTGAATAGGCCCTTGATTACTTGGCTGTGCAAGCCTGGGAACAAGCGACCCACACCTGTCGCTTTCACAAATTTAACTTGCTCCAAGTTCCTGCGGGGATTTCAATCAGAATACTTGCTGTCTGAACCTTGCTCTGGCTTGTGCATCTCACTGCACCTCTGCATGGGGCACCTCTGGGCACCTCTGGGGCACCTTTGTCCGCACCTGTAGCAGTATAGCATGGCTTGCGGGGTGGTGCGCCCGCATGGGGAATACTGATATATAGCACATACACTGGAAGTGGAAGGGCCCATGTTGAAATTTCTTCGGCCCTGGACTTTGAACATCTAAGGACAAGACACCAGGGCGTAAGCGCTCTTTTTGTCACACCCATGACAGGCCTGCCTCTGTCGACTGCGGGGTCCGCATCTTCAAGAAGCATTGCGTAGCCAAAGATCCACAGGATTTGTTGCGGTCCAAACCTGCTGGTATGGTCGACTTGGCATGGCCGCTTCACGATTGGATTCGTGCCCAGATTCATATCCAGTCCAAGCCTAGCCAGACCAAGGAAACAACCGAAGATCTTGACATAGCAGAAGCCTGTGATTTTGTCACCCGTAACACTGCGAAGATGTCCAAGAGAGCCCGTCGTCGATCAGGCGGCTGGCTGGTGGCATGCAACGAGACGGGGGCCGTTATCGGCTTTCAGGAATTCTTTGGCGGTGAGAGCCTGACGCAGAGAGCTGCCTTTGTCAGCACATTGGTGCACAAATATGATTCTATTATTACCACGATATGTCATGACGATAGCTGCCACTTGAGAAGGTTCATGGACCGCTGGTTCTCATCCATTCCTCGTCTGTGTTTTCCACAAACCCACTACGTCCTTGACCGCTTCCATGCACGCACACATACAGATAAATGGTGTCAGACAAATTGCAGTCCCAATACCGAAATAAACCGGCCTAGATTAGACAAAGTGAATTCCAGTGCTTGCGAAATACTGTTTGCCTGGTTTTCCGGCTTCAAGGCTTCTTTTAGGCATATGGGTCGACTGACAGGTCATTTTTTTGTTTCTGAAATTTTGCTGCA